GGCCATTGCTGACTATAAAATGCGTCACCCCTTTCTCTTGGTGGGGGGCCTATAAATAAGGAAGGGAACTATTTATTTGTCTATAGGACATGTGCTGGAAGATTATCTAGGCATTACTAGGTACGAATTGAGGAAAAACTGGCAGGGCTCAAAGAAAAGCCCATGTAAGGTTCCGCACACATAAACGTTTATATAAAATAAATTGACATTGGAAGTCTGCCATGTTGTCTCTAGACATTGGGATCAGGTGTTATTGTGTCACGGGTATAGGTAGACGAAATCAGCTGGGGTTTTACGCATTACTGGCTCAAAGCATAAACATAGCAGCAGCAGTTCTGTGAAAATATTCACGAAACTATAATATTTCTTTCTCCATTGGATCTTTCTTTCAGCAAGATCTGAAGGCTTTTTTTTTGGTAAAAGAAATTGTTTTGATATCATACGACTGTTGAATTCATGTATATATATTGAACTGTAGAGGAGTAAATGCATGTGAAAGCTTACCTGATCTGGTAATAAGGAGATTTTCGAAAGTCGACTGCAATTTCACACTTGATAAAATTTCTCATTCATTATGCAAAAATGTAAGTACTGATGTATTTTTCTAAAGTATATATTATTGAACTTTTGCCTTCAAAACATTGCTAAATATGCATGAATATAGACAATTTTACTTTTATACTGTACTTTTAAAGTGCAGTCCAATTTTTCCTGAAAAATGAAAATAAAGTTTCTTTTTTATGATAACTTACTACATGGATAAATTAAAACTTATAAGTACATGTATGTTCAATAAAAATTATGAAAGAAGTCTGTCTGACTTGTTGGCATTCATCCACCTTCAAAAACAAACTTTCTTTAAAAAAATGAATCAATGGAAAATGTATTGAATTAGATGTTATATGTATATGTTTTAAAAATTTTACTCCAGCCATTTAAAAAGGACTGCTATTTTATTTTTTTCAAAATATTATACCAACTGTGCTGCAGCTAGCTTTTCTCTCTTTAAATGCCAAAACTTCAAGTTTGATATCATAAAGCTTAGTACTTTTATTTACACAATCCAAAAAGATTCTTCTCTCCAGGGCTTTAAAGATTTATGAATGATATAAATATATTACCATGGATTTTAATATCTATAAGGTCACCAGAGAAATATAAAAATTTTCAGTGGGAGTTAAATAAAGTCTTAGGTTACCTCATCTCTTCCCTTTAGTCATTCACATAACCATGGACATTAAATACAATTGGTCACCTAATAATCCCTAATCCTTGATTATATATTTATATACCTGTGTGTAAGTTTCTAGTTTTAGAGCCATGGTTAACTGATACCCCCTTTACTACTGCTCTTTAAAAGTCTAATCCTATAATTCTTCCTCCTAAAGTCTGTACAAGGTGCAAAACGTGCTGTTTTTATGTGTCAAGTGCTCTTCTTTTTTTGATATCACCAAAGATATCTCACTCATTGGCTGTAAAAGATAGTTTAGACCCCATGTATATATTTTGTTTGTGATCAGAATTTGATGGTTAGATAAACCTAAGGGTCTGATATATCTTCAGTCAATGTTTATATTTACTTATGCCATATTAAGTCAGTTATCACTCTATATTTCTTTAATTTGTAGGTCTACCTTTGTTTACATTTCTAGAACTTATCGCAAAAAGAATTTAATCGGGTATAATTGTACATGTATTACAAATGTCACTTGCAAGTGCGTCATATCTTCACCTTTGCATAAAATATTTTGATATTTTTTATTAAAGTCAAGAAAAACTCATTTCAATTTAATTTTCTCTCAAAATTTACACGATTAAGAACTGAAAATTTAGGTGTCGATCTCCAAGTACTTCCAATACCAATATATTATATCATTATTAAGATTTTTATTGTATTGCAGTTTTTATATGCAATGGTAAAAACTGTACATGCATAACCATATCACACTATTAAAGGAGAAGAAATTATATAATTTTGTCTGTCTGTCCATCTGTGTCCATGTTTCTTAGTCATTTTGAAATGGTACTTTAAGTATTTCGTCATCATGAAGCACCAATATGATTTAAGTAATCCTTTTAAATGACTGCCAGGGTTTATTATTTTATTTTTAATTAGGCCTTTAAGGTCAAGATCACTTGAAGAAAAACATGCCATTTTTCTTTAAAGGAGGTCAAATATATCCTTTTTATGTGTACATCTTTTTTAATAAAGTAAAACACAGGACTACTACTGCTAGCTGGGTAATCTGAAATAACATCAGGATGGGGTAACAGCAATGAAAGGAAATCTGAGCTTGTCAGCATATTCTAAAGCTCCAAGAACTTTGGTCCTTAATTATAGCAGAAAAAGTATTATTACAATCAGTGATCTCAGCAATATCAATAAAAATCACACAGTAGATTAAAATCTATGCTGTTTAATGGATTGTTGAAATTTTAAACTTTGTAAATAATCTTTGAAAGGATCTCTTTTCAAATGTGACCTTCTGTGATAAATGTAAGTAACTTGCAAATATACATGTATTGGGGACATGGGGTGGCCAGTTGGAGTCAATTTAGCTGTTTTCAAAAATAAATTGTTCAGTACTATTATTCTTATACAAATGTACTAAAATATCTCCCTTTATCATATTTATGTAGTAAACTATTTCAGTGTATGCCAACACATGTTATGATCATGGTAAAACTGCTGTAGCCATTAACATGGAGATATTCTGTGTTTTATGGTTTAAGTACCCAACCTTCTGAATTATTCATCAACAATCAGCCATGATACCTTTTCTCTCCTTACTGTTTTAGTCAAAATGAGGAACTAAAAGTTTTAACCAGGATGGAATGTACTGTAAATCACTTTTTATTCGCGAGAAATTTATTTTCGCGTAATTACGCGAGACAATGCGTTCGCGAAAATTATATTCTCGCGTTTAAAAGTATTCCTCACGATTATATAGAGGAATAACAACTATTCGTGAAAATTATGTCTCGCTTACATAGAGTCAATGACAATCTCGCGAAAATAAGGTGTCGCGAGAATTTAGTGATCTACAGTATTTTAATGTTTGTTTGCAGCAATTGAAGCAATTATATATTTCTTGGAAAGGAAGAATGGGGGAGGGCAGGGGCAGGGATCTGAATAGAAGCAAAATGCAGACAGAATTGCAGTTTTGTTCTAATTTGGTCATGTACATGATAGATTTCATTAATGTATAAATATTGTAGAGATTTAATGTATAAATATTGTAGACATTTGATCTCATTTTCAATGTTTATTTACCAATTAAGGATATATTCAAAGAGGCTACTGATGTAGGTATAGCTCTCATTTAGAAATGTCTTATTTGCTTTCTTTTTGTCAAACCTTGTACACTTCACTGATATTTCAAGAGATGCCAAACATGCAATGTTAAAGAAGTACCGATTCTATATAATCTTGAGAATTTTAAAAACATATTTGCTAATACTTGTAAGTCTACTTCAAGACTGAAACTTTATTTTCACACTTACAACGTTTGAATATTTATAACTCTTAGACCCACCACTGCAAACAAAATTTGTTATTATTGCTTTTTGGTCTGCTGATTCATACTTTCACAAATTAGCTCAGGATAATTTCCGAGGACCTTTGTTGTTCACCTGAAGCTTTAAATCCTGTCTTCGGTCTTTGTTTTGGTAAGGGCCTATGCACTGTATGTATAGTTAAATTAAGGAGACACATTTGCTATATCAGCTGATATAGCCCCTAGGTCTTGGCCGATATTTAAACTTTATGGACACCAGCCAATTTTTCCGATCTGTTCGATTTTCTTTGTTTGGGAGTCTTTATTTTTGAACGTTTGTCTCTGCAAAGGTTTTGCTCAAGAAAACCACAGGTCTGTGAATTTTGTTCCATTTTTTAATTTATGGTGTTATCAGGTATCTTTGATAGTGCTTTAAATATCTTAGATGTTATAATATTATGATTAGTGCCTTTTTGCATGACCTAGCTTTGTTAAGTTTTAGAGGCATAATGTATTTAATGTAGGGTAGGAGTGATTTTCTTGTGACTTGCAAGTTTTTTTATTGCGATACAAGTTTTAGGAAATGAAAGAAAATTTTAATGGATTTGTTATGATTGAATAAACATGATATATGTGTTGTATTTTAATAGTTATATGGATGTAGTTTTGGTGTAAGACTGTGTCTTAAATGTTAAAGTAAATAAACTACAAATGTATGTGGTATAAATTGGGACAAAGTGCAAGAAAGTGCTCACCTCAAGAATGAGGTTCCAAAGTATGTATTGTCTTCTATTTGCTTACTAATATAAACTAACACCTATCTTACTCATTTGCAAAAAGAACTGGAGGTGTATTTTATTGAAAGTATCCATCTTCTCTTTAAAATGATGAGGTGTGTCATCAAATTTTAAGCATTGTAATGTTGGAACCATTTACAGATCCTTTCAGTTATTTCTGTCTGAAATTTCTACTGGTTCTAAGACAATTCTTTCCTGAAGGTTCTAAAATATATGCCTCTGTAATCATTGCATGTTTGTCACTGGGCCTTTCCTTTGTCACTTGTCATCATCTCAAATAAGACCAGATACACTAGTTAAATATTTATTCTATAAACTGAACTAAACAGTTTTTTGTAATGATTACTTGCTCATATGTTATTTAACGTCTCTCTCTCTCTCGAATTTTTTACTCATGTGGAGACACCACCACTTGCCGATGGAGAGCTGCAAATTTTGTCTTTATATACTCTGCACATACGGCCATTGAGCTGTGAGGGATCTTATTCACGCCAACACATACTGCTATACAGGACTTTGGTTTATACAGTCTCATCTGAAGGACCAGTTTCCCGTGGGATTCAAATCTGTGACATAAGGATTAACTCCTTACTTCGCGACTCTAGAATAGACGCTCTAATCACTGCACCACGCGGGCAACTTTGTGTACCAGTAATAGAAAAAAATCTTATAATAAAATTTTATTTTGATCATTGGTGTTTTACAGGAATTATAACAAGCTGGAACTCATAGAATGGCATGCCGATCACTTAACAGAACCACAGCATGCCAGAAAACACTGAGTCAGAGGGTCAAGGTCGCATCGGGTCAGGTCACGGTCGGTCAGCCATGACCATCAACAAAGAGCTGCAAGCCAATAAGAACAGGATAGGGTCAGCCAAATACTATGACATTGCCTCGGCTCTTATGGGTAAAGGCAAGGCTGATCTAGAGGAGCTGTTTCTTAATGCTGCAAGGGTAAGATTACATTCCATGTTTCTTCTTCTGATAAAAAAACATAATCAGCAGTTTCTGAGTTAATTTAATGATTTAAAATTATTGCTGCCTGACAATCATAGGAAAAATATACAACATGAGTGCTTTCCCTCTCGGTCATTATCTGTTTCTCACTTTTTTGTGAACAGGATGGAGACCATGACAGAATAGAGACATTTTTACTCCGACGTAGTGATGTCATAGTCAGCATTGATGTCAAGGACAAACGAACAGGAAACACTCCTCTAATATGGGCAGCTAAGAGGGGACACACTAAGGTAGGAATTTATTTTACCTATGTAGATAAAGCATGCAGAACATTTTGTTTTCTGCAAGTTGGAGAAAAATAGGGACTTGCATTAAGCAATATTATAATCTTTTCAAGAGCTAATAAAAATGCTATCTGTGCAAATCAGTTTCTTGAAATGCAGTGCACTTCTACTAAAATACGTATAAAATCATGCAATTTCATGGTTACTTGTTTGAAAATTGAATGTAGCTGTGATAAATTGTGTTTCTGTAGATTGTCCAGTTACTGCTGAAGCATGGAGCAGACATTACCCTCCGTAACTATGAGAACCAGACAGCTGTAGAGGTGGCTTCTGTCGGAATCCGTACAATCCTGCTGGACTCTGTGGATCGCTCCACGGAATCATCCCATCGTCTGCTCCTACAGGCAGCATGGCAGGGCAATATCAGAGTCCTCAGAAAGTTATTGGTGAGTCTAATGAAGTATGACAGGGCAATATCAAAGTCCTCAGAAAATTATTGGTGAGGCTTATTTAAAGTATAGCAGGGCAATATCAAAGTCCTCAGGATGTTATTGGTGAGTCTAATGAAGTATGACAGGGCAATATCAAAGTCCTCAGAAAATTATTGGTGAGGCTTATTAAAAGTATACCAGGGCAATATCAAAGTCCTCAGGAAACTATTAGTAAGTCTAATGAAGTATGACAGGGCAGTATCAGTCTCAGGAATTTATTGGTGAGTTGATGGCAGGGCAATATCAAAGCCCTCAGGAAGTTATTGGGGAGTCTTATTTAGTATAGAAGTGCAATATTGAAGTCCTCAAGAAGGAATTTATTGGTGAGGTTTGATACTGTTAAAGTCTCATGTTGATCACCTTTATTTTATAATAAGGAATGGTGGTTGAAGGTTTGCTGTGTACTTAAGGAGCCTGTAGATTCAAAGAGAACCATCTTTTCTGAAGCTTTCTTATGTACCTTTTATTACCCAAAAGCAATATTGAGTAACTCAGTCAGAAGAGTTCTGCACTTTCAACTGCCCTCAATATCATATTTTAGAACAATCAAAAAGAAACAATGTTCTGATAACTGACATGGAAGTGGGATCAATTGAATATTCCCACCATATCTATATCTTCATGCATAGGTCTTGGAAATATTCTTGTAGGGTTCTGCTGTTTGCAGTATTCGTTTAACTGCAATTAGAAAGGTGTGCTAAAAGATGCAGGAGATGTAGGAAAAAAATCAATAAAGTTAATAAAAAAAGTCCAGATAAAATGTCGAACAAAATCAATAGCATACCCATGTCTGCTCCACAGTAATTGTAGCACTGGAGGCTACTAAATGGTGATCACTTCCTGATCGCTCCGGACTTCTATAATTAGACATGATCACCTATCAAAGGTGACTTTGGAAAAGCCCATCCTAAATTTCCAGATGGGTATTTTCCAGTAGGAAATTTATTTTGTCCTATGTTGATCATGGGAGATTTTAAGCTTGACTTTTAGATTTTGAGTATTTCAGTTCAAATTTTTCCATGATATACATTAGTATTTATATGATTCACTCACTTATAGTGCTGCATTGCAAAATCTTGGTCCCTGCAAAACTTCTGAGAGATGAAAATGAAGGCTTGAAAACATTACATATTAGAATCTAGTTATATCTAGAAAAATAATTGAAAAAAAAATTGCCATAAGGATATGAATTAATTTTCCTGCAAATATGTGTTGGTTTAAGATAAATCAGAATTAAGAAGATATAAACCAGTGTCTATAGCAAAGAGACTCTAACCATGAACAAAAAATTCCACCATTTAATTCCTGGTTTATATCTACTATTACTCTACAGAATGAGAACAAGGTGCGAGATATTAACTGTCAGAACTCTGAAGGATTAACTGCACTTTTACTGGCCTGCCGAGACATTCAGTTGTTTGAACGACTTTCTACACAAATGAATCGACCCTACAACCCGGTGGAGTGTGTGATGGAGTTACTGGCCCATAGAGCGTAAGCCCAAAATTTTTATTCTGCATATTGATCAATGAAGAACAAGATTTTGTTCTTTGGCTCATGTTTTGTAATAAGAAAAATGCTAATAACTTTTGAATCAAGACTTCTAAGTTTGAGAAAAGTTTTGCATATGTTGCTTGTTGCTTTTCATGTCTGATGAAAAGTTTCATATTTTTTTAAAAAATTGAGGGATAATTTTATTATTTCAGTGATGTGCATGCACTTGATGGAGATGACATGGCTTGTTTACACTACACATCTAAATCTAAATCTGGTCTGGCTGTGGCCGTCATGCATGCTATACTGGCCGCAGGACCAAATATAGGTAAGATACCCTTATGTTATATTGAAAATTCAATTTTCATTCAAGTTATAAGACCTTCAACACTAAGAATTTGCATTGTCTATATTCATGTTCACTTTTTTATTAAAATTTATAAAATTTAAATACTGTAATTTTTAAAAAGAAAAGGATTTAAGTAATTTGCAGTAAGAATTTGAAATTATTTCTTTTACAGAATCCAAGGATAAGCGTCTTTTTGCTCCAATACACTGTGCCTCACAGACAGGCAATGTAGAGTGTATCGAAGCTTTACTAGAGGGTGGTACAGAGGTTAATTGTCGGGGGTTTGCAGGTGCTACCCCTCTCCACATAACGGTGAGCATGGATTTCTTCTAAATCACTCATTTGTAAATTGTCGCATGTTGAGATGCTTATCTCGCTTGGCATTTTAACACCTAAGTCATGTCAATGATTTGGATTACGTACTGTTTGTAAGTTTATCAAATGTTAATCACCTTTGCCCATATCAAGGAAAATTTTTTACCTACACTCTTGTGTTCACCTTTCAAACGCAGACATGACATTTTTTGTAAGTGAAAAATTACCAGACTTTTGCCAACTTCTCCCCAGCAAAAGATTTTCATTTAAGGTAAAAGTCTCTGAACAAACCGGTCTTATGTTTACAAGTCTTATGTTTTGTTATATATAAAATTTTCATTTGATGTCTTCCCAGGCATATAATGACCATGAAAAGGCAGCCTGCTCTCTGCTGAAACACGGAGCAGACGTCACACTGACAGATGACAGAGGACTGACTGCCCTTGACCTTGCCAGAGGTCGAAAGATCAAGGCCGTCCTGAAGGAGGCCTGGACAGAGGCCACACAGTGTAGACCCTCGACTAGTCTGGCCCCACTTAAAACTCCAGGGAGGGAGGATGTCCGAATGTCTACAGAGGATGGCAAAAAGAAGAAGCGGGGAGGAGGGGAAGTCATATTTGATGTAAGGTTCCTCCTTAAGTTCTAGTTAACTGGATGTTTGATTACAATGTTTAATGTTTAAAATTGTAAATGCAGCAATTTCTAATGCTGGTATGTAATTGTGAGTGATTGTATTTTACTTTTGCAGGCAATGCCAACCAATGTGTTTGCCAACATGAAGTCTACTCCAAGCAGTAAGTTTACTCTCTTAATTCTTAAACATCTGAGAAGAACACTTTGTGCATGTTTTATTAATGCATCAGTTTCTTGTTTGTGAAAAAGTAAGGCAATGCATATGCTTTTGTTTCTCTTTGGATGACACAAGAATGTGTGTATTAGACCAGCATATTAAGTAAGTTTATTCTTTAAGAGTGCTATTTATTTGCTGTGTCTGTAGGAGGAAAGCCACTTTCTAGACACTTGAGTCTGAGGGAAAAGGCCAGACTGGCAGAAGAGAACATGCTTCAGGACATTGAAAATGGCAACTTTACTCCTGGTCCCTATCTCAGGTATACATGTACCTCTTTTACATATGTGTTATATTGTTCTTGCTTTCAGTATTTACTATACTGCTTTCACTGGACACAAGTGTACCACACCTGGTCAATGGTTTATGTCACAATCTGTTTGGACACAATTGTTGTCATTGAAGTGGAAGAATTTAAAGTTCAAAACTCTCCCTTCACCTCTGTGGTAACTTGACACGATCATATGTATTTAAAGAATTTCCCATCTATACAAATTTAATATGGGTGTTTACACCTGCCTATTTATGTGTATTGATTACCAATTGACTCAATCATGTATGACTCCCACTATCACATTTCTCGACACCTTGAAACCAAAACTTTAAAAACACTGTGTGTTGGGGCACTGACTTTTAACTTGCACTTCTGCATTTTCTGTTTAGCACACCAAATGACAATGACCAAAGTTCAGTCAGTCGATCTACATGTAGGGATGGAATAAGAAAGCTGGGAAAGGTCAGGGGTCAAAGGGTGTCACCTTCACCTCTACCAAAAACCAGATCTAAAGAGAGGCTGCCCTCCATCAGTCCAGACAGGGGGCAGGACAGGGATTCCCCAACGTTCAGCAGGAATGGAAGGTATCGACGGTCATTTGATGAGGGCAGAGTTGGGCTAGGGAGAGGAAACAAGCCAGGTATTTGTGATACAAAGTGTACATTTCTTTTATCCATGGAAATTTGCACCTGAGTAAACTCAAATTGAAAACACATTTTTTTTAAACTGAACCAATTTCAACCAAATTTGGCACAAAGCACCTATGTACATGTACAAGTAGTTTTATTGAAAAACTTTTATTTAGTGAAAGGGACAGAGCCATACATAGTTTTAAAATAAATTTTAGAAATAAGTATATAATGAAAATGCAATTTTTAAAATCTTATAGTGGGTAAACTACCTACCCATGGTCCAAGAATTGTGAATTTTATGGCCCCGGGGTCAGGGGTTCTGGTGTTAGGGCAGGTGAAAATACATGAATTCTTTGAAAATCTTCTTCTCTGCTCCTGGGTATTAAATAAAACAAGTGCAGAGTTACCTCCCAAAATTGTGAATTTTATGACCCCAGGGTCAGGAGTTCTGGTGATAGGGCGGGGCTCTATTGATTTTATAGTGAAAATACATGAATTCTTTGAAAATCTTCTTCTTTACTCCTGAACATCAAGCAGTTAAACTGTTGGCATGATTGTAATCAGCATTGAGTCCTCTACCAAATTGTTAAATTCATGGCTCCTGGGTCAGGGGTTCTGATGTTAGAGCGTGGCGCTAATGAAAATGCATTATTTCTTTGAATTTTCTTCTCTGCTCCTGGGTATTAAATAAACTCTTACATAGTTATGATGAGCAAGAGTGCCTCCCAAAATTGTGAATTGTATGACCCCAGGGTCAGGGGTTCTGGTGTTAGGGCGGGGCTCTATTGATTATATAGTGAAAATACATGAATTCTTTGAAAATCTTCTTCTCTGCTTCTGGGTATTAAATAAACTAACTAAGTGCATAGTTATCATGTTTGTTTTAATTGTGAATTTTATGGCAGTAATGTTGTGTGACTAATATAGTGAAAATACATGAATTCTTTGAAAATCTAGGGTATCAAATAAACTATCAGAGTTATGATGAGCAAGAGTGCCTATTTTGAATTTTATGCCCACCCTGGAGGAGTTCTGGTGATAGGGCGGGGCTTATTGATTTTATAGTGAAAATACATGAATTCTTTGAAAATCTTCTTCTCTGCTCCTGGGTATTAAATAAACTAACCAAGTGCATTAAAATTGAATTTCTTGTGATTTTATGATTAAAGGGTTCAATTATATAGAAAATAACTTTGACTTTTCTCTGATGGGTATTAAGCAATGAATAGTTATGATGACATAACTTGAATTGTGAATTTCAAGAGTCTGTGTAATATACAATATTGATTGAATTGTTTGAAATCTGCTGGTATTAATCTGACAAATATTTTTGAAAAACAAGTTGCCTTTTCAAAAATTGTGCAATTCCTGTGAATCTAGGCCTAGCTTCATGTGTGGTAGAACTATTAAACATCATTAGTTGAAATGCTTTTTTGTTCTACCCAACCTATGGGTATTAAGCCAACTGCTAAGTGTATAGTTATGATGATCCTGGCCAAAATTGTGACCTGTGAAAACCTTTATCATTAACAGAGGTCTTGAGTGAAAGATATATAAAGTTGATAAATTTTAGAAACTTTTTCATATAAATATATGCTTTGTCTTTGTTGATTATGTAATAGAAAATAATAATTTCAGTTATGGTGATGGGATAATTGCTACTAACATTAATGATTTAGTCATAAGATTTTGAGAGATCTTTCCAGGCAAGTAAATTGATGAAACCATAACCAATTAATACCTGTATAAAATTGCTGCAATAAACATAAATAACTGACTTTCATAGAGCACATAACCTGAAACAAATATATGCTTAAATTCTCCAAATCATGCTATCATTTTATATCGTAGATCTGGCATTTAATTTTTGACCTGTGACCTTTATATTAATAGAGGTAAGTTGAAATGGTTTTATTTCCTGTGTTTTGCCTTTGTTGATTCTGTATTAAAAAAATAATTTTCATAATTAGGGTGATGGGATTATTACTACTAACTAATTTGAATGTTCAATTAAAAAATTCATAAACAATATATCTGTAAATTGCTATGTGTAACTTTATTCTGAGGAGGAAACAAAACTCCAATGAAATCTAGCATTTATATTTTTAAATAAATCATAACTTTGAACACCTGGAAATATCAACAAGACATAGTATTGATTTAATGTTCATTTTTAAAAGTTATTGTACACAATTAAAAAATAAGCATTTTTTAAATCTTCATGTGTGTTATATGTTCTCATTCCCATGTGCATGTTGATTATTAACAAGTTTAAAATGTTTCATTGTGCCTATATTTTAACATTCCTGTATTAACCCTGTCTGTTTGCCTGTGTTTTAACATCAGGTTCTGTTAACCCATTGCATCACAGTGAAGAATATTACAGTGAATGCACCTCACCACGCGTCACAAAGTATCCCAGAAGGGAGACAACTCAATACTCCCAACTGCTAAGGGAGACAACCCAGAAAAGTCTTTATAATCAAGATGGATCTAGTTATTCTTGTAATGCTACTTGTGAAGTGTCACAAATCTTGGACCTGGGTAATTGTTATAATTTTACTAAAATTTAATAGCATGTGGTTGTTATGGTTTGTGTTTGTAAACAATAATTTGACATTAGCTGTGTTGCAGAATGAGACTTTTTCACACACTGTTAGACTTTTCTTTATGGATATAATTTTGTTCTTAAAAAAATTTCAATCATGAAAATATTGAACTGCTTTTGAAAATATGGCCTACATACATGTATGATATATGTGCTTTATGACTGATTGTAGATCGAATGGGACTGACCAACAAATGTCCACAGACACCTGTTCAAGGTGCCCCCCTCTATCCAACATCATCCACCATCCTCCCACCCACCCCAACCTTACTCAACCAGCAGACGACCAACGCTCACCTAGAGTGTGCCATGACAGATCCCCAGCCCTCAGATGACTCCAAGGTACTTACACATTAGAAAAAATAGTTAATTTTGAAAGTAGTCTTCAGTAATCTTCATTATAAAAGGCAGGTAAAATGTTTATCCAACTTCACTGTTACTTTCAGGACCCATCACCAAGATCTGATGAGGATGAACTGATTAAGAATAAGGAGGTGAAGATGGCATTTGCTGGGACCATAGAACTCATGAGGAGCAGATCTATCTACAAGGATGAGTTTATCCTGGAGGAGAGTCGCCCTCGAGATCTTTCCCTCAGGTCCTCAAGTAGTGAGGACTCGCACCTCAGCAAACTTTCTAGCAGAAGCTCCTCAGGGGATCCACCCATCAAAGAGAATTCTGGGAAGACTTATAAATCAGTGGTAAACACAAATCAGAAAACAGACATTAAACAACCTCTCTGTGCTGCAACTCAGAAAAATGCAACAAAGCAACCAATTTCTAGTGCTGCAACACAGAAAAGTGCAGCAAGACAACCAGTTACCAATGGTGCCATTCAGAAAAGTGCAACAAAACAAGTGCCTGGCACCTCAAAAGGTGAAACTCAACCACCAGTTTCTAAACCATCAAGTGTAGGTTCAAACAAATTGACACTCAGATCAAAGCAAAAATCTGTCACCTCAGAATCCCGGGGAGCAATATATCTGGGAAATCTGAATAATGAAACTGATAAAAGAGATACCCCTAGTGTATCAAATTCTGCTGGCAATTCAAAGAGTTCCTCAGCTCAGAGCAGAATCACAGTGCATTCCAGACATTTAAATGAGGGCATTGTGAATAATAATGTACAGGACAGCAACCCTGTCAGCAAATCAGGACCAATGCAGGTTGTGTCATCACAGCTGCTTTCAAATGTTAAAGATGAGATCAGGAAAAGAAATGAACTTCTACAAGACAAGACAGATGAAACAACTGTTGTAAATGAGGTGAAACCAGAGGAGACAGGGAGTGATAAGGAGGCAAGAAAGAAGCTAGCTAAGAGTGAATCTAATGTGCTTGCACTGAAGCCTGGTGAGAAGGAAGCAACTGTACCAAGACCTGCTACTCAAGCCTCAGCAAAGGCAGTGAAAAGGATTGGACCAATCCCAGCCAATAAACCAACTGTGACTAATAATAAAGCATTTGTTTCCTCCAATCAAAATGCTCAGTCCTCAACACCGTCATATCTCCAGCCAACCAGATCTTCTGTTTCAAGAACAACCAATGAAAGTAGTGCAAAAGATGTAAAAGCTAATAATACAAAACAAAATATAGATGGTAAAAACACAGCTAGAAGTAATATATTGAAAGTTGGTGCAGTAAAAAATAATGAATCTAACTCAAAACCTCAGGAAAAGCTAGCAGCTGAAACAAAGTCAAATTCTGACAATTCATCAACTGCTCAAGTTGCTAACAGTGGCCAAACTGTCAATGGAAATAAACCCAATTCAAATAATTCTGGAAATGTTTCTGTTTCTAAGGTTGGCACAAATAATGCCAGTGCTAAGGCTGTTGGTCCAAAATTAGGAAAACCAGCATCTACAACATCTACTGCACAGAATAATGCAACAAGTTCAAACCAGTCTGTTCCAAACTCAGCAAGGACCCAGAATTCACAGAAAACCACCTCAGCTGGTAAACCGCTGCGTGGAAACTCTGGTGCAACAATTCTAGCAAGAGCACCAGCCACTTCTGCCAGGAGTGAATCAAATGTCCCAGGAAATAAACCTCCACAACTCAAAGAGAAAGACGCTAATGCTCAGAAACCAAACCAGGGAAGTTCAAATCAAACTCAGAAAATTAATGTGAAGTCAACATCTGCAGCAGATGTAGGAGAAGCAAAGGAAAATGTTCCTAGTTCTGGAAACATGGCTAAATCAGAAAGTGACCCTCCAAAGGAAGAATCTCAGAAAGTAGAAGAACCTCCAGCTTTTCCGTATAAACCAGCTAGTGCTGGGAAGCCACCACTGGTTGAAATAGTCACCTCTGTTACTCCACGCAGGGCCAAACCTGAACCTATTGTAGCTGGCCCCATGCAAACACCAGTCATAGAGGATCCCTTTGCAGACATGTATGCAGACAATTCGGTGAAAGCTCCAGAAAAGAAACAGAGTGGAAAAGGAGTTACTGCAACAGCATTTGGATACATGGTTTCAAAACCAGGTGTAGAAAGATCCAAAACTAATGTTTCCCTCAAGAGTAATAAAGGCAAGAAAAAAGATGCCAAGCCTTCTTCTGCCAATCCTAAGCTAAGTAGGAGAAGAGGAGGAGCTAAAAGCAAAGATAAAAGAAATACAGAAGACGCAGTTGCTCGGCCAAAAAGTGGGAAGAGAATGAAATCGGGGAAGAGAAGGAAGAAGATACCTGTGGACACTCTGCTAGGAAAGCAAGCTTCACAGTCAGATATTGCACTTATTTCAGGGATAGGGTGGCATGTGGCTGCCAGTTGCATTGACAAGTCTGATGTGGTAGCTGTGAAGTTCACAGACTCTCAGTCATCAGCTTCTTCAGAAAGTGATCATGAAGACATGGAGGAAGAGAATTTTGATCCCATTTTCAATCGTCAGGAAAGCTTGATCTTTGATAACCTTGAATTGATCAAATCAGGAAATTTTAACTTGGATGAGGACACTCCAAGATTTGTGCAGGAGCATTCAAAGCCAAAGCACTTAAAAAATTCTTTAAGTGTAGATGTGTATCAGCAGATAGACAATTCACCTGGTACCCCTTCACCTCGGTTCAAACAAATCAAACCAGACTTTGAGTCAAAGATGAACTTACCTAGAGTAGACAATGATGGATATAGACCAATGAATCTAGATTTAACCCAAACATCTTTACCAGTTCAAACTCATCAAAATGGTGAAACTGACTTGCATTCTGTGCCTTCCAACTTCAACATGTTTTACAATATGGAGCAGATGAATGCTGCTCAGCAAGAACTAGATGACATTCTGTATTCTAATCCTGCTGTGGATGTAGCTAATGAGGAGCTTAACAGACAAATATTAATTGACAAACTGACTCCTATCCCAGAATCCCCATCCTTAAGTGCAAGAACACCAATTCATAAAACATTGAACGCTTTAAAGGAATTTGATGAAAAAGTGAAAGAAGACACTTTGAATGATCTTCTTGGATTAAACGGGCAAACACCTAGAATGACAAGTGAAGTGGAGTATGCTCCAAGTCAATTAAAACGTGGAAAATTTGAAACAGAAATTCAGGAATTGCAAAACAGAAATTCTTCAAATTCAGGCAAAAGCAAAACATCAGAAAGAGCAAACTCATCAAGTCAGAAGTCGTCTGCTGGTAGCAATTCTAAGATATCAGGATCCTCAGCAGGAAAGAAGAGTTTGCAGACGTCAGCTGGGAGTCGGGGAAAAGGCCCAGAACCTGTGGTCAGGAAGTCCCAGAGTTTACAGTCATCTGCTGGTAGCAAAACTTCAAGGACACCAGCTACCCCTGTGGCCAAGAGAAACAACTTATCAAAATCTCTGAATGAGAACACCAGGAGCGAAATTGAAATCTCAATTGAAAATCTCAAGTCAGCCATTCAGCAGAATAAACTAAAAAATGATGAGAAGAAAAGTAAAAATGGTATGGAACAGTTGAATGTTCCTCTTCCTGCTGAGAACATACCTCTATTAGATTTGAAAAATATACATCCAGCAGAAGATGATAATTTAGCCTCAGGTGTGAGGTCCAGTCAAAGGAAGAAGAGAGAATCTGGTGGAAGATCGACCAGAAGGGAACGGAAATTTTCAGAGACCAAAAGTGAGGAAAGAGAAGATACTAATCTAGATGAAGTTGTGGAGGAGATTCTGAGCAATACCATGTCCTCGGTGAGGTCCAATAGGACGCTGACGAATACCAGCAGAAACAGCACACTGACTGAGGTGGACAGGGATCTACTGAAGAAGATGATGCAGAATGAGTCTCCATTCCACGCCAAACTTTCTGCCTCTGTCTGTGATCCTCAGAGGAATAACCAAGAGGAAGATATTGAGGACATCACCTCACAGCAACCTTATCTTAAAGTCACTGATGACCTGCAGACTGTACAGAAACAGAAGGTGGATAATGAAGCTATAGCAAAGATCATGAACAGTTTCAAACACATGGAACTGTTTGCTGGAAAAGGTGGAAGTCTGAGGGCATTGAAAGGTAGCAGAGAGCACTTACACAGACCTCACATGAGTGTTGGAGAACCGTCTTCTGCTGGAGTCAATCATAAGCCACCATTGTCAGTTCCAAAGGGAAAGTCTGCAGGAAAGTTTACAGAGATTAGAGGATCTAAACAAGATGGTGGGTCAATGAAGAACAACAGTGTGAAGGAAACTCCCTTTAGGTTCTCTAACTTACCTCCACAGGAAGGGGCAGGATTTGGTGATGATGATGACAGCTTGGATCTGACCAGTAAGGTATGGAGAATTAGAGCAATTAATCACTTTTGATATTACAGTAAAACATGCTTATATCAAATATGCTTGTAATGAATTGATGCTTACAGCAAAGTGATTTTCATTCTTCATGGATATATAAAAATATCAGTTAAGTCAAAGCAAATTCATTTATCCCTAACACTTTGTTATAAGTGTGTTACTGCATTTTTTCTTGATTAGAAATTTTGAGTATATACATGTATTGTCAAAATTTGACAATTTTGACAATATTGAATTCTTGATTTTCCAATTTCATTTTTTTTTTCTTTAGACAATGACTAGTGACACATCTAGCTTGACTGTGGACTCAGACAGCAGAGCAGGAAGTGCCTGTACCTCGATCAGTAATCAGTCAAATGTAGACGACATGATACAGTGGAAGAAAGGGAATGTCCTGGGGAAAGGAGCGTTTGGAACTGTGAGTAGTCAACAATGTTATAAATAGTTGTGCAAAATATTCAGTAAATCTAGTATTGTTGTAAAGGGAATATATAGATATTATGGTGTTGTGGCAAAGATGTTATAAGTGTTAATTTTTTATGTTAAAGGTATGGTGTGGATTGACCAGTGAGGGACAACTGATTGCTGTGAAGCAGATTGAACTGAACACAGTGGACAAAGACAAGGCCAAGAGGGAGTACGAAAAAGTCCAGGAGGAAGTGGAGCTCCTCAAGCTCCTCAACCACAGGAATATTGTAGGGTAAGTATAAAAAAAGGAAAATATGTCCTCAAACTCCTCAACCACAGGAATATTGTAGGGTAGGTATAAAAAGGTAAAAACTGTCCTCAAACTCCTCAACCACAGGAATATTGTAGGGTAGGTATAAAAAGGTAAAAACGGTCCAAAAACTCCTCAACCACTGGAATATTGTAGGGTAAGTATAAAAAGGTAAAAAACTGTCCAAAAACTCCTCAACCACTGGAATATTATAGGGTTGGTATAAAAAGAGGGAAGCCTGTGAAAAAAACTCAACCTCAGGAACAATGTAGGGTAGGTTTAAAAAGGTAAAAACTGCCCTAAAACGTGGAAAAGATTGAGGGGGGGATACTTTGGCTTTATTCTAGAGTTCTTTTATCCACAAACACATTTTTGTTTTAATGGATCATTGATCCCCATTTGCCATACCACCAGAAAAAAAGAATAATCTGCCAATTATACGCATCAGAAGCTCATTTTACAATATGGATTTCTTTCTTGTTGCAAGTGATAACCTTTACTGTCTTTCCTGTAGATACCTTGGCACCAGTTTGGAGGAGGAGGAGAGCGTGGTCAGTATATTTATGCAGTTTGTACCAGGGGGCTCTATTGCCAGTATCCTGGCCAGGTTTGGGGCTCTTGATGAAGCTGTGTTCAGGCGGTATACTAAGCAGATCCTGGAGGGAGTGTCTTACCTTCATCAAAATGATGTCATTCACAGGTAACTTGAGTAGTTGTTGTTTAAGATGTCATTCAGAGTCAATAAACCTGTTATGATATCATTCATAGATAAATAAAGCTGTTGTTTATTTTTTCATTACATACTCTGATCACTGAGATCAAGGAAAGTGGTCTTAGAGTTCAAAGAAAGAAAAACATGAACTTTACAAATCATGAGTGGAGCATAAGGAGTAATTTGATACAGTACCAGAAATGTATTTTTTGCATAGGAGAAAAATAAGAAAAATTTTGGGGATTTCAAGAACTAAAACTATCTCTTTTTTTTATTTTGCAGAGACATCAAGGGAGGAAATGTCATGCTAATGCCAAATGGAATAATAAAACTGATTGACTTTGGATGTGCCAAAAGACTGTGTATAAACCTCAGCATGGGTCAATCTCAGATCCTCAAATCCATGAAGGGGACGCCATATTGGATGGCCCCGGAAGTGGTCAACGAAACTGGACATGGTAAAAAATCAGACATCTGGAGCGTGGGCTGCACCATTTTTGAAATGGCCACCAGGAAACCCCCATGGGCAGACATGAATCCCATGGCAGCCATTTTTGCCATTGGCAGTGACAGGAAGTCCCCACCAAGGTTACCAGAGAAATTTACACCGGAGGCCATGGAGTTTGTTGATTTTTGTTTGACTAGGTAAGTTTTTCAACAAATAATAACAACGGCCACATTTTTTAAAATTTTAAAATACATGTATAGGTAAAATAGCTAATTAAAACACATTTTATTCATATGAAAATAAATTTATTTTCAGAGACCAAAGCAAAAGACCCTCTGCTGCACAACTTCTGCTACATTCCTTCATCACAAAGAGGAAAAATTCTAAAGGAGAAAAGAAATGATTGTGTATTGGAGACTCTTGATTTGTTCACAAGACTGTGTTCTTCACTCTTGCATTTCATGAACATCATTTTACTCTATACTTCGAACAGTTGAGAGATTCTACAAGGATGTGTGGAAAGTGTTTTGAATGTAAATAAACAACCTATCTTTATAGCCATATTAAAGTGCCTGTGAGATCATATTACATTCCAGCAGAGACATATAAAACCATGGTTTTATATGTCCCTGATTCCAGTAAGTCAGCATCATATAAGAAACTGTTGATTACATTGTTCTCGTTCATGATATTAGTCACTGCTATGTTCAGGTATCAGAACTTGTTCAGATCTGTGTTCAGATCTTATATCCTACATTTTTTTAGTAAAATGGAGAGTGAATGGACCCAATTGAAGAAAACTTTGAGTTATGACAAGAAATTAGACACATTTTAAGAAGTGTTGAAGTGTTTTTCTTTCTTTTCCAGAAAAGGTTGAATGAGAATATTACAATTCTCAATATCATCAACTATTTGTGTTGTAAATGTTGTTATGAGATAGATATATTTTAAGCCTTTTACAATGTTTTGTATAGAAATTGACACATTTCCTTGAAGGAAATATAACTACAGTGTATTTCAGAGCAACTTATTGTTTTATTTTAAGTATATACATGTATTTTATAAATCTAATCATTTTTTTTCGTATACATGTTCAGTCCATAAAGTTTTTAGGGGTATTTTTGTGTGTTATATTGTACACACGATAAGTGTAGTGGAGTGTCCTTATTTGTGCCAATGTAACCAGTTTTTTGTTGTGCCAAAGTGTAGGTATTAGTCTGTATATGTGTGCATCGATTGATTCTCACCCAATGTGTCAACAACTATTCCTCTAATGTGCTTCAGTGCCACACATACTTGTATGCCATATTAGGAGGGGATTTTTTAAACAACCAGTTAGGTGATTTGATTGTACAATAAAAAAAAATAACTTCAAGAACTTTATTTGTGTGCAAAAGTATGAGAAGTTACATGTACATCCAGGCAAAATGATGGAATTAAATTATCTTGGACCGTTTTTCCATTTTATGGAAATGTTACCAAGATGTTTATGGTAGCATTGGTGACTCTGCTTAGAATATTATTTTGTGGAACATCCTGTTAAAAATACTTTGATTTTTTTTAAAACAATACAGATTACAGCAATAATATTTTTGTCCATGTCATGACATTTTAAGAATGTTTGATGGTTTGCTTAGAATTATCAATGCAATATTTTTAGATGGGCATTTATAGTCAGGAAAAGATAACCCATGTTTATATACCTCTGTGTATAGATCATTAGTCATTCATTGGATATGATATGGTAAAATTGAATTGACACTTTATAAATTTACCCTTTATCAAAATTGGTTAATATAAACCTAAACACCCTGTAATAGTTTTTAAAAAAATATATTGGGGGGGGGGGGGGGTTTAAACATGTACTTGCTCTTTTATTAATGTCTTTTTTTAACAGAAAAAAATACAATGTATCACCTTTTGTTAATGTCTGTGATCTTTTGGAGCAATTCATAAACAGGGCTTTTTTGAATATGTACAGAAATATATTTTCTTGTATTGGTGTACCATGGGACAAAATGGATAATCCGGCCTCCATGTTTTATTAATTGTCTGTAACATTGAGATGTTTGTACATTTCTTAATTTCTGGATTAAACGCACTGCTGACCTGTAGAATTTTGTCTATTATGGTGCATTTTGATTGGATTCACTGTGATAAATGACAGACCATTGTTTTATTTCCTAAAATGTTTCTGTCATGTTTTTGTACTCGTACGCATTCCTACATTAGCATCATGTCTTCCCTTTGAAATAAAGAAAAGTAGATTATTAATAATTTTACTAGTTTTTTTTCTTTCAAGGTGTTGCATTACATGAAAAAAATTTCTTTTTCATACTATTTTTTGTCACTGCAATCCTTCCTCCTTTGCCACTTCTTGCATGAGAATTACAATATTCCATTAAGAAGAAAAAGTAATTTTCATTTTTGAAAAACTCCAAGTTTAAAATATATCAATAACTTGTAATATGAGCATCTCTTCCTACTGGGTACTTATGGTTTACTTTTTGGATCCTCTGCATGGATTTCTGATGTAAGAGTCTCTATAGATTTAAGTACTACCAAAATTTTCATTTGTTATAAAATTGAAATATGCCTTTTAAAAAATTATGAAAAATATCCAACGGTCCAGAATATTAGAGAGAAGGGGGTATTCCTGTCCACAGTTTCTGACATTTCCAAATAAGCATCTGGACAGGGAATAACAAAATTGATATTTAGGTCGAGATGGTGTGATTTCAACCACCTGGTTAATTTCAACTGTTCTTAAATACATGTGCATTAAAGACAAGTGTTTTGTTTTTTGCCTAGTGTTAGTCAAGTGTAGGCCAAATTTTTCTGAAAATAGGAAGTAATTTAGCTCATGTAACCAGCCAAAGTGATCCTTTTCATTTCTGTTCTGAGAAGAATCACAAGTCAAAGAAGGATTTTCACGAGAGAAAGAAAGGGGAGAAGAAAGATTAACTTCGGATACAATATTGATGCAATATTTTATTTCTTTGAATTCTTTTTCTTGTGTCTTTTTGTTCATAACACATAAAGGAAACATGGAAACTAAGATTTTTTGTCAGAAGTAAAAAAAATCTCGAAGAGAATTGAAGCGATGGTGATTCAAAGCCAAAATTTAAATTGGCAGCTAATTCAGAACTTAATTTTTGAAGAGAAAGAAACGTACATCTGATAAATGAAATGAAGAATGCATACATTATTAAAAAAATCAAATTCATCTTGTGCAACTAATTTTTTTTATTAAGTGCAGACTCTGTCATCAGGAAAGGATCTGCACGTGTGCTGGACAGAGAATAAGTCAAGATTTTTTATATGATTAAAATTAACTAGCTGTCATGTGGTTCATGCAGTGCATCATGCCCCCCCCCCTTCTTAATAAGAAAAAATATAAGAGAAAGAAATACTTGGTAATGGCAGCTAACTGAAGATGTAATAAATAACTTTAGATATAATAAATAAATAACTTTTAATTAAATTTAATTGTTTTGATATGATATGTTTGAAATTAATTCATTTGTCATGCAGTTTGTTGGAAAATGGCATCCCTTTCAGATTTATTAATTTTACTTCTTCTCTTTTGATTGTTCATTCTTTTTTCAAAGTAACAGACAAAAACACATTGCTTATTTTAAATACAGAAATTGTGGGCATTTTCCATTATCCAATTTTTGTTATCATTTAATCTAGATTACTCCCCCCCCCCCCCTCCCCAAATAAAATAAAAAAAAAAACAAGTTAAATATTTCTAAACCAAAGCCATTATTTAAAATGTCACAAAAAGTCAAGGGCTGGTGATTTTAGCCATGTTCAAAAGTATAAGACGTATCCGAACAGTTCCCTCCCTTGTTTTGAATCTTCTTACTAGGCGGCGCTCGTGTTCTGTTGTTGACGTCAATGGCTGCTTAACATACGACGACGATCGATCTCAGCAACTCCTTGCAGCTGAAGTCACTATATTTCCATCCTACACGTCATTTTAACAATGACGCTGAGGTAAGTCTGGTGCTTTGCAATATTTTCTCTTAATTATCATTGAAAAAAGCTTGTTAAAAAGTGCACAGCTTTGCTCAAACTTTATTTTTACATGTGGTCTACAGTACATGCTAGAGCTCTAGACCGGGTTTAGATGAGTGACATGATTTGCCGATTGATTGTCATTTAAATCTATTCATTGTCTTGTTAAATCTCGATATGGTTATGAAGTGAAGAGTGTTAAGTAAAGATTTTCAAGCAGTAAAACGCTGGAAATTACAATGTACAGAAAGAGACAGAGCTGCAGAGCAAGCCTAGATATATTTGATCCATACCGTTGACTCCCAAATTTGTTTACATATCAAAGATTTTATGGACTTTCAAAATCTACATGCTAACTAACATATAAAGCACATGCCTGTATGTTGTAAAATCACTTGACTTAAATGTCATAATATACTTCAAACACTATCACAAATTATACAGGTCTATGATAACCTAATATTCATCTTATTATAAATTTAATATAGATTGTAAAAGACTTTCTGTTAGCAGATTAAACCATTTTGAACCTTTGGACATTTAATGAAAATTGTTACATTTATTAAAGATTTAATCTGGTTAACTATATACACTATATTTACATAAACATGATGAAGTAGTATATTGCATCCACTTTTTTCAGAATTTCTGACATAGAAAAAAATTGCTGAGTTGCACAATCAAATTGCCTGTAAATTGTCTAACCATAAAATGCAATTAGTTTCTCTTCTTACATAAACAACATTGATTGAATTTCATTGGGTGTTTTGCAATATATTAAATACCAACCATGGTTCATTTAACTCTGCTTTTAAAGTTTTCGCACAGCCCAGACTTTCATTTTAGTCAAGTACTGTATTATCTCTTATCATGTAATGTGACATTATAAGAGGCCTTGTTTATTTTTTGCATTTATATGATCTTGCTTTTTGATTTAAAGATTGGAAAGAAATATAAAAGAAATATTGTCTCGAAGTTTAAATTTACTCCTTACTTCAGTAAACTGACATTTATTATAATATATATTCTTCAGAAGTATTATGATTTTGGTAGGAGTTACTGAAAATATGGATTTACTTACAGTGAAAGTAGCTATAGCACTAAATCATTATTAGATTTGAATCATTAAGACCAGCCAAAAATGTTTGACCAGCATGACCAGTGCTAAAATTATAATTAAATCCTTAAAAGCACAGTTTAGGGAGGTGAAAGTATCCTTTGTTGACCTCTCATGCCATCCATCCATGAGACCTATACATGTGTGTTTGTGCAGCCTAGTGAAATTTTCATGTGAAAACATTCAAAAAGAAAAATTATGACCAGAGCAATATGTGTTTCTTTATGGATGAAATATAAAAAATTAAAGGCTATAATAGTCCAATTTCTAATAACAGACTATTTGCAGAACAGACTATCATGTTTTTATCTATTTGTCTAAACCATAATTAATATAAACCATATAAACCATAATCTGATGATGCTACAGATTCCATAAATGATAATGGTACTGCAAAATTTGTGCAACTTACGCACAGTATTTTCAGTGCACAGTTGATAAGAATTTATCCACTTTCCAGCATTGTTTAACTAACTTTCACTGCCTAATTTAAGACATATATTTTAAGTTAACCAATATACGAGGGGTGTTAGAAAAGTTCGCGAACAAGTTTTATTGTGAGCGCGCTATTTCCACGAAACCGGTCAAACTTTGCAGATAAAATCTTTACCTTTTTTCCAATTAATATACAAGAATTTGTTGCTCTCCGATGATTATTGAAAAATATACAGCTTTTCTATTTTGATAAATCTTGCTTCATGGAGCATGCTACATTTTGGCACGTTTACATCACAAAGACTCTTTATTAAAATTAAAAATTGCACAATTGTACCGCAAAGAGTTTTATGATATTTTACCTGCCGCTATAGTATTCATGAAGCGTCACTGGGAAAAATTTTGAACTAAATTGGAGGGTATATGACTGTTTTATATTTTTATGATCAACGCTTAAAAACACAGCCAAAAATATATATGTAAAAATTATGTATGCAGACTGGAAAATGTCTAAAAAGAGATTAAAATGTTCAAGATGCTGCCGGGAATTTCCTACACCTACAAAGGACAAGTTTTCAAATGGTTGTAGCTTCATATGGAAGGATTAACATTTTGAATGATTACCTCCATCGATACTTCAGTATCGCATGGTTTTGCATAGTTTCCATACCTGATCGATTAACTGCATTTTTTTAAAGATCTCAATAATATCCGAATCAGTGACATTATATAAAAGAAAAGTAATATGTCTTGATATAGATATCCAATTTTAAAGTAGAAAATAGATAAGAAAAATCTGAAGAAATGAAAGATTTATAGAACTTTACCGGTTGAAATCGGGTTGTCACGTCGCCTTACGTCAAGTGATTGCTCCGTGAATTCCATGACCTCATAGTTAAAATCGTTGTAAATTTTTAAGATTTTATTATATGGACCTGATTTTTTACATACCAATAAACAAAATGTAGGAATTTATTCAGACATAGGTCATACTTCACAGTACAAAATAGATTTTCCGTAATTCAAAGTGTCCGCGAACTTTTCTAACGACCCTTGTATATATTATATATTATCTACCTCCCAACCCTTTATAGTCGCCTCTTAAGTCTGATATACTCGCTTGTGAATTTATTGTCAAAAAGTAGGAAATTCAATTCAAGCAATATTATTGGTCTGTAGAAGTGGTTATATTAACTTAATTTAAGGGGAAAGGAAGTGGATAAAATAAATAGGTTGGTAAAAAAATATGTTTAGGATTTGGGAGTGAAATGTAGACTCACATTAGTTAATTGACCAATGCTGGAAAGTGGAGAAATTCTCCCAAACCATGCGCAAAAAAATCTTGTGCCATAAATTGCACAATTTTTGCATAACTGGTTCTGTAGCACTATAGGCAAAGACAAATATTTAAAACCATAACAGTGTTTTCCCTTTATTTCAAAGTAAAGGGTTAGAGATCAGTTGTAACAGCTAGGGGCTGAGATTTATGAACAGAATCATTGTGGAACTTGTAATAAATTTTTATTTCAAAGCGGCATTTCTGTCAATTAAAGCGGTCAATTTGGCCAGTAGCCGGTTCTTAGAGAAAACACTGCATAATGTTACAGTTCCACAGCTATCAAGAGACATAAGATACATGTAATATCATTACACATGTTACATCAGGAGATGGATCAGTTGTGAGTCTTAGTTGTACCTAAATATTGCAAAATTAAGTCAGTTAGGTTACTAGACTAACCAGTGCAAAGTTACTCTGACATAATTTAAGCTGATCAACATATGCATTTTATTTCATGTATTTACACAAGTAAACAGTTAGAACTGTATCATCAATAAATAAGCTATTGGGGAGAAAAATGTATTTACATTTATGTGCACATGCCAATATATATGTATTGTATTGTGGGGCTTCATGGAACATCTTGGAGACTATATAATAGCCATTTAATGAATTTGATGTAAACAGCTGTGCCATCAGATTATGAAATTTTTAATTTGTCTCTAATTTCCAGAGAATGTTTGCAGATAGGTATATATTTTATATAATCGTTTAAAGAAAGCTGGTTAAAAAAACATAAACATCGGTTGCACCTCAGTTTTAAAGGTTAGACAAAGCAGAAGCTAGGGAGTGATATGTGATGTTGAATGTTTGTTTATATTAGATAAGATCCTAAAACATAAAGATGATTCAAATGTTGACTTGAATTTAAATCTCTTTAAATTGCACTATTTCAAATGATAAATTTGTTTTCTAGGGTGACACAAGCCTGCAAGAAATGGTTCACCTGAAGTGCAGCAGATAACAAGAGTGAAACTGAAACAACGTGAATCATGACTTGGAATTTCCCATAACAAAGATTATAGAATGTCCGACAAATACTTCTGTCCACGTCTTATCGACTACATCCTGATAGTGGGCAGTCGACATCCGAATAACAACAACAATGTCGCCCAGACCCCCGAGCTTCTGCGACGTTATCCCTTGGAGGATCATCACGATTTTCCGCTGTCCCCCGACGTCATCTTCTTCTGTCAGCCGGAGGGATGCATCAGTGTGGGCCCCAAACGCATGAGCTTAAGAGAGACCACTTCATTTGTGTTCACATTGACAGAGAAAGACACAGGGAAAGTCCGATATGGAATCTGTGTGAATTTTTTTCGACCAATAGAGAGAAAGGTGTCGGAGAAATCGAAATCTCTGAGTGCATCTTGGGCAGACGATAATGGAAATACGGAACCGGACAGAAGAAAATCACCTAAAACCAAGCGGAAATTGAAGACGGCCAGTCGTGTTCGAAATAATACTTTAACATCACTGTGTATTGTTACTCATCATCCATTCTTCTCCACATTCCGAGAATGCTTGTTCATTCTGCGCAAACTTATAGACGCTTGCCATGATAGAAGTTGTAGCAAAAGAATTGGTGGATCCAAAGCAATATCAAGGTGTGTATCATGTTGATAAGCAAATCTGTATGAATTGTATTGAGAACTTTTGTACAACTGCAAAACAAATTCTTTTTCAAATTATGCATGTACATTCAAATTGTTGCTTCATCGACAGAGTAAGCCAAAAAATTAGATAAGAATGGGTCGTTGGGTTTGTTTTTCATGTTTCTGTAAAATCACAATATATGTGATGATCGAGTCAAAGAACTTATCTCCCCTTGAAGCATTGATTAATATTTGAATGTCAAAGGATGACATTTAAGTTTGCTGGAATGCAAGCTCTTCAAAGTCTGAATAGATCTTGGATGTTTATAATGAAAGAGAAGTGTTTGATTTTAAAAAGCTGTTGTTTTGTTCTTTAATTTTGGCTTCGCTGATCAATAAAGCAACATTTGGTAACAATCCCACAGCCATATTCCTACAAGAACCGAATCTGTTAGAAGTACAGGCAGTTTCCCCTCGTTAACTATGCTTCATTTAAAGCATTATTGATTCTTCTCGGTTTCCCTATGTTATTTTAAACCAATACATGTCTGTGAACTTGCTCTAGGGCATAGGTTTTCTATATATGGTATTGATGAAATCTATATTCAGAATCGGCTAATCTAAATCAAGGTCGTTTTATTTGTCTAGTCATTTTATGGGGACTCGTAAAATTTAGAAAACGTTGAAGTGTGTTCTTTTTATTTTTCATTTAATTCCTCAAGTAGTGTCTTCAATAGTAAAGCAAGCTGATATATCTTTGTGTGTAAAACACCAAAGAGATTTTCAGATTGTGATGTTTACTTTAAATATAAAAACGTTGGACTATCAGAATCATTAACACTTTTTTGTGAAGGTCTTAATCATGTTAATGTCAAGACTATTCCTAAGGCTATTTAATTGTAAAGACCTATTTAAACTTTTCTATTTGCACTTCTCTCACTTTAAATGTATTAGTTGTTAAATTAGAGTTAGTAATATTGTTGAAAGGTTATTATGTTTATTTTATATCAGGAAATTTTTAATTTTAAATTAAAAATTCTTATATTTCTCAGAGTCCGATTCCACAGATTACATTTATATAGAAAATAAGCTATGCATTATATTATGAAAATTGTACAGTAGTAAAGCAATACATGTAATAAATAGTATCTCTAGTATATATACAGTGGAGCCTCATTTATCCGGACGCTTTAGCTCCTAGGCAATTTGTCCGGATATGTGAAGTGTCCGGATACCTGAATAACCAGTTTAACAGAACAAAATAACTTTTAAAAATTCGTTCCGATGAAAAATCGTCTGGATACTGAAGCATCCGGATATCTAAAGGTCCACTGTATTTGTCAATATTTAAATTCTGATGTTGCAAATGTGTGGACTCGATGAAATGGTTTTCATTAGCGAATTAATATGACCATTCTTTAATGAAATGACCTCAAGCAATATTGTCCAGGTGTCAACTGGTAATAGCTTCCATCTAAATTAATTGAAGCACTCAGAAGCAGGTAGTTAATTGCCAATTTAAGGGCCATCTGCTTATTATTAATAAACAGAAAAATATTGATTGAAGAAGACATCACATTTATATATATGTACATATATATTACTAGAAGGTCACAGCTTTTTTACAGTAAAGAAATGAAAGATAAATAAGATACATTCAGGGGAAAATCATACTGCTCAGTTATGAACAGAGGTTTTAAATGTCGTTGAGATATATCTAGAATTAAACCCATCATTTTCATTTTGATACACATTTATTATGTTTATAGTATTTATGTTTTCAATGGGTAAATGACACCGAGATATATTGAAAATATAGAATATACTCTTTAAGTCTTAGGAGGCTTTCATGACCACTGGGTTGTGAATGAATTGATCTCTAGTTTTTAATTGCATTGAATACTTTCCTGTCAACTAGCTGCCAGAGGCTCAAATGGTAGTTCGTTCACAAAAAAAAAAGCCTTACTGTGGATTATTATGGTTGTCTAAATAGTAAATAGGTATATAAAGATAATAAAGTAAAAATAACCCCCCCCAAAAAAAAATAAAAATAAAATAAAATAAAATTAAGCTTATGAGTTTTCAATATTGGTCTGATTGGAATATTAATGATCGAGTTCTATCAAAATTTATATTGAAAAATGTTGGCCTGCCTCTATTTTTTTACCTAGGTTTATCCTATTGAATCTTGTATCTTGAATTATATTTTAAGAGTATAGAAAAATATTGAATAAGTAGGAAATATACTAGTATTTAATGACTTTATCTCTTTGAATTTAGGGACACAGTTTGGGGAGTGTTAACAGGGCAGGGCTCAGACAACCTGACAGGCCTTGTGATGCATGAAGTCAAAGAAATAGAAACGTGGGTGCTGAGACTTCTTAGTGCACCCGTACCAGTCCCCGGGAAGACCAGAGTGGAGGTATGTCACCGTGTAACCATGGTAACAGTTAGTTGTACCATACTAATTCTCTGAGTTGTCTACCACATAGTTTTTATTTAATTCAGGATATTAAGGGATGTATCCATTCAACTGTACACTGATTGATTTCTAGTCTTAGATTTTTATGTACATTAATGAAAGATTTCTATATGGAAATTTAGTATTTTCTAGGAAGATGAGAAAATGTCAGTTGAATTAAGTCAGTGTCTATTATAATAGATTTGATATTCAAACATCTAAGGTCCTCATTACTTAAATAAGTTCATGTCATATCTATTGCTAAATCTTGTTATTGTTATAGCCCAGACATTTTATTAATACATATTATGATAATAGTTACAACAGTTTTGATTTCTGTGTTATGAATATAATGATATCAGATTATTGTATAGGATAAAGGAAAATCACCAGGATCAGCTTAGGGTGTGGGCGATATTAATTAAATAGTCCTGTATTAATGCCATCGGACCAGAAACTTATTCAGAATTTCTTCAACATCAGTGCTTTGCACTGGTTGTGATAACAGCTGACTTGGAATAATGACAGCTGATAGTAATTAGAAACTTTTAATGAGGATTGAAATATATTTTTTTAATCCAGGAAATACATGATCATAGCACAATATCTGAGAACTGGAAATCCATTATGCATTAACCTGGCACCAATAGTCCCAGATACTCTTTAAGTAATCAATATATTATGTACTTTGTCATTGTGCCGAGATCATGGTGACAATGGCATAATTATATAACATTTGATTCACAAATAGGGTGTTCTGGACCATTATCGTCGCATATTGTATTTAATGTACGTAATGATCTGTAGCGATACTTTCAGCAAGCATTTTCTGTGTATTTTATGTATAGAATCAATGTGGCTATATACACAAGAGTACACAGCTCTTGAATAATTCATAAAATTTTGGTAATCAAAGCCAGTGTTTTTGATAAAAAATTTTTAATTGCCTATAAAATCATTGAAATAAACAAATTATTTCTTTGCAAATGTATTCAAAATTTGGTTCAAAAACATTTTACAAGTGGTGTTAATTATTATTTATTTCATTTCTGTAATATTTAACTTATTTATTTTATATATTGAAAATATCCAAAATACTGTTATCTTGACATCACTTTACAAAATTTTTTCATCCCCCTAAACACAAATTTCATATCTTTTGTTGTTATAAAGTAAAACACACTTATTGGGAAAACACTTATAACGAATTGATACTTACAGCACAATGATTTTCCCCATCAATTTAAGATATATTGAACACTTAACGGTTGTAACAAAATGTGCTTATAACGAAACAAAATTGTCTGTGCATTGCACCTCATTATAAATAATTTTTACTATATCAGTAACAACTTCATACAAATGGTTCACTTTTCTTTATCTAGGTTCAGGTGTTGCCAAAAGAACTTGAAGCCCCTCTGTTGTTTGCCCTGCCCGACCACACTAGGTTCTCCTATATAGATTTCCCCCTCCATCTCCCATTAGAACTCTTGGGGGTGGATACGTGTCTAAAGGTGCTTACTGCCATTATGCTGGAATACAAGGTAAGTCATGATGTTCAGTGGACAGAAATATAAAGTCAATATTGTAACAATAAAGAATATGCTCTAAGAGCCCATGTACCTCAAGTTCTTAACTCATCTAAAGTTCCAAGAATTAAAACAGAGAAATGGATGATGAAATTAATTCCATTTTGTGTAGAAGATATACAGTCATGTATATAATTATTTAAATATTGCCATTTCTGACCCCCACCCCGCACCCCACCACCACCACCACACAAGGATGAAAATTATGAAACACATCAAGGTCTATGAAGATGCACATCTTACACCATATTAAAATAGTGTTCTTGACCAAACACAGGTTGTGATGCAGTCCCGTGACTACAATGCCCTATCTATGAGTGTGATGGCCTTTGTTGCTATGCTGTACCCTCTAGAATACATGTTTCCTGTGATTCCATTGCTGCCAACCTGTATGTCCTCTGTAGAACAGGTAATTAGTGTTTCAGAATGTTATTAACTGAAAATTTGTTAATATTTTCTTGTAAGGAAATGATACGATTGTAAAGTTAGCCAGGCTGCATTATTTGTGCATAATTTCAGTAAAATGCCATTTCAAGGAGGTAAAGAATGATAATAATATCTGGACAGAATAAAAGATTACACAATCTTAAGGAACCCCAAAAAAGCAGATTTAGATTAATCAACAATAGAGTAATAAAAGTAGATAGTGATGCATGAATGCTAGAATTGTAAATGCAGTCTTGCCCACTGGGACATGCAAAAGAAACAGTCAGAATTGATGCTGTCTTGGAAAAACACGTTACACGTCCATGTACCAGTGGTTTGATTATGGAATTTAAAGATCTTGATACAGCTTATTCAAGTCAATGTTCTTAATACAGTTGTATTGCAGTTAAAAGAGCTAGGAAAGATAAAGATTTTCAACTCTCTTGGACATGTTAGAAATATGAAATAAAATTAAAAAAATTTATTTTGTTTGCATGATTATGCATAACCATAAATGTCAGATTTTCCAGCATGAATTGCACTTTTTATTGCTCAAAGTGCATAGATCCCACATAAAATGTACTTGATATTAAATATTGAAGTTTTTTTTAATATTTTCCACAGCTGCTCTTAGCCCCAACACCATTCATCATCGGGGTACCAGCAAGTTTCCTTCCATACAAGAACGTCAAACTGCCTGACGATGTCTGGCTGGTAGACCTTGACTCAAATAAGGTTAGGATATATCACTTTACTTATCAATCAATGCACTCTAAATATCAAGATGAATTTACGTTCATTTACTGTGATATCTCAGTTGAGAGTGTTTTGGTCGACGTTGCTTAAGATTTTTTCCGAGATATGTATCCTACATGCTATGTTAATTGATCCGTCTTACTGAATTTCCTTTTCCCTTGTGGAAAACGGGGGCTTGACATGCAAATTTTTCTGTGTTGTTTGTTCATTTTCTTGCCTTTGTTCCCCAGAGGTATATCATTTAGAGTTTAAATGTATCATTCACAATGCATTTGCATTAATGATATGTTGTGTACATATCAGTTTAAAAAAAACTGAAAAGATCAATGTTTTATTCAAGATGATTTTTAAATATATATACTTTAATTATAAATACTGTTTGTTGCACCATGCAAGTACTTCATGTACTTATAGAATCTTTTCAAAATATGACATAATATTTCGATAAAACATGAATGTAAGGGGTTATAAAAATTTCATTTATACACTGAGTGTAAATTTAATAATTATATACAGGTCATGATAACTTCAACTACTACTTTTTGTCTACATGTAACTGTTTCTGTTGAAGTACACTATATATGTAGACCTATAACCTATTCACAGAAATGTGCAACAGATGTGAATTCAGCTCGTTATTCATACAAAATAGAAAACCTTGTCCCAAAGGTCTTCAGAAGTTAGAAGGGACGTGCGGGGGTTGATTGTCCTGGCTCTATCAGCTATAGCCTACTCAGTTCTATCTTCCCACACAGAGAAGTATTGATCTCTGTGTTTGGTCATATTGATGTGTAGGCGATGATCAATTTTCTGGAAGCAGAATCATGAAAGCCCAATTTTCTGGCTGTCTGCAACTGGATGTGTCCTGGGTTCTAAAAAGAAAGCACTGACTTTTAATTTATCTCAATGTTGGAGGTTGGTCCTGTAAGGATCTAGAAAGCACTGATTTATTCTGTTTTAATTCATCCATTATATGCAAGTGCTGAAAGTTTGTTTTGTAGAGGGTTATAAATGAAACAGGTCTATGACATAAGTTTAAGGTGGAATATTTAATTGAGGAAAATGACTTGAAGATGTCGGATCACTTGAACATGAATCAATGCATGGTCTTGGATGTTTGATTAACATGTATTTCAGAAACTTTAAAATAAAAGCGAATTTCATGAGTGTTGCTTCTCATGAAATAGTGCCAATAATTGATTTTCTTTATATGTGTAATCAAGGATCTTCTTAACAATAACTTAAAAAAAAAGAAATAAACTAAAAGTTTAAGGAATGAAAGGTTGAACTTCAATGGGAAATCCATTAAAAATCACAAAAATGAATTAAGAAGTGAGGACAGTTTTGCTTGCAATCTGCCTTTCAATGTACAAGGTTGCCATCAGGTTTGATGAAGTATATAGCAAGTGGTTTTCTCTTGATTTATCAGTGGTATTCAAATTGATGAGATATAAATCATATTCAGATTGTGACATTTCCAGATTTCATCCTTTTTTCAAATTAGTTTTATGTATTGGGGGCTTTATTACCATCTGTAATGTGTGGTGTAAAAATCAATAATTTTTATACATAACCTAATTCTGTGGGGTTCATTAGTTTCTGTAAAATTGCCATGTAAATGTGTTTTCAGTGTAATCATTTGGATGAAATTCTGGTTTCTGGTATCTTGTAGAGAGAAAAGAAATATTGATTATTGAAGTGATGCCCACAGATGTGTAAAATGGACATATAAAGTTTCAGAATATTAGATAATAGAAGCAAAATTAATATGTGGTCTACATGATGCTAAAGTGCACTAATGTGTATTTATATTTAGTTGACCTTTAAAGTTAATTTCATTTTCAAATGCTTTTTTATTAGATGTCAATAGGCAGAAATGAAGAATTACCTCCCCTGCCAGAACCAGAGGGAACACACTTAAGAAATCACTTAAAGCAGGTATGTATTAGCTGCAGAAGTGATGGCACACAGATACATGTAAAGGAGGGGGGATAGCCTTAAGAACAGAAAATGTCGAATCTAGCTAGGGAACCATTGTAAACTATTCTGCAGTGCATGTATAAGAATATGTATCTTTATTTGCTATGTAAAGAAAGTTATTTGAATTAAAGATAATGTTTGTTTTTTTTTTAAGAAAAAAATTTAAATGATCCATATTTTAAAATCTTTTTTATGGATACAGGCTTTAGCAAGTATGTCCATGACCCCTCAGCCTATAAAGAACCTGGATGCCCTAGCCCAGAATCCAGACACCTGGAAGAGACGGGAGAGTTTCTCCTCTCAGACTGGATTTAATCCACTTATTTATGGCAATGATGTGGACTCTGTGGATGTAGCAACCAGAGTTGCCATGGTAAATATGAACTGTACATAACGCTTTTACTGTTGAAAAATTTCTTCCTTCATGGTTTATTTTTATTCATTACATCAATCAATAAAGCCATGATTTATATTTCTTTTTATCCCAAACAAAATTTATAGTACATGTATCACCATGTCATCTTTTTATGTGTTTTGCTTGGGTGTGTGTTTGTCTGTCAGCCCACTTTATGTTAAAATTGAGACTTTTTAATGGAAAATTTGCCAGCTATTTGTAGTACAATTATTTTTGCTTGCACTGATCTGATATGACGGTAAATTGAGATCAGGTGTGCCCATCTGACTGATACATGAAGCAACTGTACTTACTGACGTACTTTATTGATCTTTAGATTTCCTTTAAATAGTGTTATTTATAGAGCAATACTTTTAAGGCTGTTGAACTTATCAGATTTGTGCACATGTACATAAGATACAAAAATATGTATACATTATAAGATACAAGGTAGATAAAATCTTTATCTCTGTAACTAGTTCCTAAAAGTATTAATAGCCTGGTAAAAAAAAAAATGTAAATTCAGAAAGGAAAAAATGGTGTATTTTATTATGAGGTATAAATTAAAATTTCCTGAAATTTTGGTACATAAACATGATAAAATAAATTTTAGATTTTTTTTCAGAATTTCACACTTTAAAGAAATTAGTGTGTATTTGATTGTATTTTATTATTCAGATTCGGTTCCTGAATTCTTCCAACATTCTGGGTAATTTCTCAGAGCACACCAGAACATTACGACTGTACCCCAGACCTGTGGTGGCATTCCAGATGTACAGTTTCCTCAAGTCTCGCCCAACTCGAAGTCTCTTCACAGCTAGACTCGCCCGCACTCAGGTGAATATCAAGTTCATGTCCTACCTTAATTGTCATGGCCTACTTATTCACAATTAAAATTTCATTATTTGATTTATTCTGAAAAATTTATTTTTAAACAATTTAAGTTTTTTTTATTACATTGAATACATGTATATATATATATTAAATCTTGGTATATATTTTGTTATATCTCTTGATCATTTTCCTCAGAATTATATAAAATTGGTTTGAATTACCAGAAAGTTAGATTTAAAATAGCTATAAAATTTATTTCTTTATCTATCTCTTCAAATGTTTTGAACATTCAGGCCGTGGAATATTTTGCTGAGTGGATATTAAGTCCAAAGAACGTAGTTTTCCTACGAGTACAGACCTCTGTGTACGATCCACTTCTGATTGGTGATAAACCTAAGTGGTACGCCCATCAGCTCCAACCAATAGAATTCAAAGTTTACGATGATGGATCCTCATTGGGTACAGCTTTATCATCAGCAACTGGCATTTACAGTGATGAAAATCCAACAGGTACAAACAGACGTGTTAAAATAAAAAAATAAAAAAAAAAAATGGTAGATTAATATTTTTGATATTTTTATCTCTGAATACTCTCTTAAAAATGGTATTTTGACTGCATTTTGTAATATTCTTAATATTATCACATGACCTGTCAAATTATTTGATTCACAGATGAGAGTGGCAGTGACAGTGATGGGGCTGACAGCACAAGCTCCTCCTACTCGTCGCTAAGTGATTACGTCACTGACATGATCAACAGCGAAATAGACGGGGACACACCAGGTGAGCTAAAAATACAGATTTTCTAAAAGCTTATTTCTGTAACTATGTTGTTCTGCTTAAAACATTGAGAAAAAGGTGCATTGTAAATAAATTTATTGTATTATTTATTGTGATTTTTACTGTTTATATTATATGAAGACTGATTGACATGTTTTACAGACGTGACAGGGAGTGGTAATATTTCTACCACAGTTCCACATTTTATTCTTTCTCAGTTTATGCCATGTTGAATTTATTCCTCATTTATTCTTAGCATCATTTATTTCAAGAGTGGGAGCAGGTGCAATGTATCTTATTACATGTGCTTGAATATCTAAAAGCTTTTTATTCTGCTACATATAGTCTGAAAAAGATGAGGTTTTACTGTAATTTAAATTCATTCAAAATGAAGATAATTTATTTAAAAATCAGAAGATGGTATGCTGTTTCCATAATAAATTTTTGAGTCCATTATTCATGACAAGACTGTAAATTTCACCTGCTCATGGATTTCACATTATTTTATTGCCTGAGAGACAGAATTAAAAAGTAATTTTGTTCCATGTTTTCGAAGTGAGTCTTTTAGATTCAGGATTATACTGTAGGTTAAGTGCTGAAAAAGCTGCCTTTCTTGTGTGTGTTAATAGATTTAGTACTTTTATCCATTGATGGCCTTTTACCAATATCTTCTTTATGTGCTCTTAACATGAAAAAAGCCTAAAGGGAATCTATAAGATACTTTGCTTCATGAATTTAAGGTTTATTAGGATCTTTATTCTTTCTTTTATTCTTTGGCTTATGAAACAAAGCAGTTGATTTTATAGAAAGGTAGCTTATATCAGACAACAAAGATTTGTATTGAGCATGCTCACAGATTGAAATGATCATGCAAGCAATGTTTTAAAAGCAGAAGAATTGATTACCATTGGATTTTCATGATGTCAGTGTGCCATGGGGCTTTCTTTTATTATGTGCATGGGAAAACTCGGCTTTTTGCACAGAATATTTTTGTGTGAATCTGATATTGGTTCATTTTTCAAGCTACTCTACAGTCCCTTTTTTTTTGTGAAAATCATTCAAAATGAATATGGCACACAAGTAAAGATATATAATTCTATTTAATGATTTCATGAATGGTGTTGTCAATTCAAGGATTATTTTATTTGTCTGAAGTAACTTGAAACAATCACAGAAATCACTGAAGAATGCTAAATTTAAAAAAAGTGACATCATATTTTACTTACCTATCTCTTGTTCTGTGAGAAATTTCTGTGAAAAATATTCAAAATGCTACAGTTTTGGTCTGATTTCAATATAACTGTAATGTAGAATAGGTTTTTGTTTCATTTTACAATTTTGTCAGTAAGTTGAATCAGAGGTAATTTAGATTATATAAATTTAAGTAATAGTGTATAAGGTGAAAAAAGAAAAGATTCACTTGAGCTAGGCAGAGATAATTATAGATATGTCACTACCTTTTTAAATTATTTCAATAAAGAATTATGTTTTAAAAGAGAAGGAGAGGAGAAAGGGACAAAAATCTTGAACATTTTAATTAATTTTTGATTTTAATAATTGCAGCATTTGTTCCTGAGAACCAGGTCCTAGCAGTAGACGAGTCCAAGGTATACTCCCCTCCAGACAAACTGCAGCTGCCCGAGATGTCCGTCACGACCAGTGACTCCGCCTTCTCCATGCTGGAAAGTGATCTCAGTAGCTCAGAATCCTCTAGTCCAACCTACAGCAAAGATCTGCCAGGTCAAGGTCAGGAAGAGGTCAACAAACCACAGATCAAAGGTCAACCTCCTACTGAGGTAAATACAGCAACTGGAAGATATATTATTCATTGTTGTTGTTTTATGTACATGTGTATATATATATATATATATATATATATATATATATATATATATATATATATATATATATATATATGATAAATTGATAATGTTTTTCTTTTTGTGCTCTTAGTTCATAGTTTTATTTTCTGGTGAATGACCCGCCTTTACTGCCATTAACAGTGATTATAAATAATCAATTACGCATGGAGTTAGCAAATTTTATGATTCAGATATTGAACATTTCTAATGGATATGTATTTAATGTGTTGGTGATTGAAGTAGAATGTTCATGGTGGTGGATCTAAGGGGAGTGGACTAAAATTAATGGCATAGGATTGGATACATTATATATCTCAAGTGCATGTATAAGAATTGTTGAAATGGTTTAAATTGTTACAATATGTGGTAAGTATATTGAGAGTGAGTTTGATTTTAATTTTGATATCTAAAATTAATTTACTGGTAATTTTCTTCCCTTTTAGCTTGTTGGTGAAAGATTCCGGTATGATTCTGGCAATGTCACACCAACTCTGAATTCTTTAACAAGGTAAGTGGACAAAAACCATTTAACTTACACAGAAGCTGATTTTTTTTTTTACCATAATTTGCAAATTAAAGTCAGTGCACACAGAAGTGACATTACTCTCATAGTTAATTCATTGATCATTTTAGTCGAACAGAGAGTGTTGGCTCCAACAACAGTACCCCCGAATTACCAAAGAGGCCTCCTCTACAGCCACTGACTCGGAGTTTGAACTCGGCTTTTGAAGCTTATGAGAAGCCACTGCCATCTGGTATGAGGGGGCCGGAAAACTTGGGCATTCCAAATTTCAGGAAGGAGAGTGGAAGTAGCAGATCTAGTCCACACCCAAAGGTAGGTGTAATTACTGTTTAGTACCTGTCAAGTAGAAATATTAGGGTACTTATAATCTGTTGGATCCAGTCCAAACCCAAACGTATTTGTAATCACTTTGTATGTACCAAGTGTAGCTCAATTGTATTCACTTTATGTGCATCAGGTCTTGTCCAACACTTAAATAACCTGTATGTTTCAGGTTAAAATGAGTAATTGATTGTGTCTTGAAACAGTGTTAGAAAATGTGATTTAAATAAGGTTGAAATGTAGCATTATAGTCCTCTTAAAAAAAGCAAATATGGAGATATATTATAATTTGAATTCTGCTGTGCAGGAACTGCTGAAAGTTTCAATTTGAATTCAGTTGCTGTAATTGTTTTCTTTTTATTTACAGGGAGATAGAACATCTACCCCTGATTCTTTGATGTCCACAATAAGTCACTTCAGTAATGAGTTGACAGACATTGCACAGTCTGCAAGCACAACCATGTCAGAATTTTTTGGTAAGCTTTTAATGATCTCAGATCTTGAATGAGTAAACTTGAAACCTAGCTCTCAATCTTTACTTTTATTATAGAAATGTTTGTAAATTTAGGGCTTGCTTCTTAGATACAAGATAGATGTAAATAGTTATCCAGCTACAGTATAATCAATGCAAAACTTGAGAGTAGATTATATGTTTACATTGTGGTACAAAAAGCAGCTGGGCTTCATGCCACAGCTGTCACACCTTAAACAAACTAGAAAACAGCTGGACCAGGGAGTCCATACAAGAAAAAAGAAAGAAAATAAATCAAGAAGTTGTGAAAATGTCAGGCTTTTCTGTTTACTATAGCTTCAGATGAGGAGGATGTGTTAGAGAGACGATCAGACCCTGGTAACGACACACACACTCTGCCCCCTTGTATAGACGGCATATCGGTGTTAGGCCCCTCCCCTCTTGCTGTTATTTCTCTTTTTTTATGTTTTTCGTACATGAATATTCTATTCCCTCTCTTTTGCCAGTGCTTTATACATGTATCTACGGAATATGTATACATGTAACTATGAAATTTACATGTGAAACTGTCAATTTTTTTTTACAGGTGTGTTTTTTGGAAGAGAGCTTTTTCTCATGTTATATTTGTACTATATGGATTGCATGCAGAGTATTCATGTTTTGATATCTTCTAGGCATATTGGCAACATGATTATAAAAAGGGGGCTTAAGAAATGTAAAACATTGCTTAAATTTTGTTTTGTTCATTGACTATATGTTAAATATTATAGTTGCAGTTTAGATTCATTTTGTTTTGTTCTGATTAAAAATTTTGCTAGTTATGAGTAAAATATATATCTATGTTCAAATAGACTTTATATTTTCTATAATTTTTCTTTGAAAACAATTACATTGTAGCATAAAAAAGCAATATTCTTTGAAATTTTTACCATATGACTCAATGCTTTGAGTGTTTCAGTGAACATTCTTATTTTCAGTGTAGTTTTACATAGTTTACAGTTGTGTTATTCTGTGACATTTTTATGATCTTCTAGGATCAACAAGATCACCACACACCACTCAACAAAAGTCTGCTAAACCATTTGCTCCTCTTGGTAGGTGCTTTCTTGAATTCCCCCATTTTCCACCCTCCTTTGGTGCTGTACTGTTTTCTTACACCTTTTAATTCATTTACATTTTCCTGCATTAATCTCAGTAATTTCAACCCATTTCTCTGCACTTCTTTGGTTTGAGTCTGTGAATATATCTTAATTTACTAATGAATTTAAAGACTGATATATATAGAGTGCATGAAATGGTTGCAAAGAAACTTCAACAAAATATGCTTCTTCCAATATTGGTATATAGAATCTAATGATTAATAGAAGCAATAGATGTGAATTTCATGTCAGGCATAGCTGTTACCCATCTTATTGGTGAATCTTGAACATCTAACAGAATACTTGTTTGAATGGTGGTAATGAGCAGTATCCCTCCATTAGAATTATGAGTTGGTCATAGACTGAGAATCCTGTGACTGTAAAGGTCCATAGTCCCTTTGTTTAAGCATGAAGTAGATTTCTGTTTTGTTTCAGTATTAATTTTTTGACTTATTTGTTGTTTATTGAAAAAAGAAAAAAAAGCTTTCTATCGGTGTGTTATTTACCATATAAGATTGCTTAAAATGCCATACTATAACTATTGTAATCAATGGAAGCAGCTTCGCAAATTGCATGATTTAAGTTCTAATGGAAAATGGTTGGTGAAATTTTATTTTTAATATAATGAATGACATACTAAGGATATATAACTGAATGCAGACCCTCTACTTTAAGAACTTTGACAAGGTACCAGGTATGGTCGAAGGTCCTAAATTCGACAGGGTCCGAATTTCGACGGTTTTGTTATTTTGTTTATATCTGGTTCGTTCTCGCGAGGTCAGGTTGGTCTGTGTAAACATAGTACCCCATTAGACTTGCGATCATATTACCTATATCATGGATGAAAAATGCATTTGAGACAGGAAAGCATTCGTTTCATATAGTTTTAGACGAAAAAAATGTCTGCCTTGCGTCAAATCACTTTTTGATACAAATATGAAATCTGATTACTGGTTTATGATTGCTACAAATAACTTGACAAAATACCATATGCATAGACTGACAATTCAGTAATGAAATTTCACGGGACAGAATTTTGGAAAACAAGGCCAAGCCAATTTTATTTTGAGTTTATCAGAACTACATTTTTTAAAAAGAAAATAATGAATTAATCATATATTTTGAATTAAATCACTTTGACTAAGTGTGTTGTTATACTTAAATTTTAATGATTTGTTGGTAATCATTTGCAATTTCCTAAAATGTAAAATACTTCTTTATACTAAAAGTACAACACTGAATCTTTACACAGAATATATTTCAATGCTTAGGATATTATGTTTTGTTTCTTTTAAAATTTTCCATTTCTACCTATTAAAACAAAATTATGTCATTCTCTACTTACATTAAAAAGTACTAAAAATAATATTTAATAATGGTATTATATGTAAAAAAAAAAAATAAAATAAAATAAATATATAAATAAAAATAAAATAAAATGCAGTTTGTATTAGCTTAACTTTTGTTTATATTTGTTGGCTGGTCCTATTAAAAAGACATCAAAGTACATGTTTTTCACGCCTATTGGTGTGTACATATTGGAAGTTTACGCCACAAGAAATTTTCAACAGTGACATAAGTATATTCACAAAATGGGTCCAGTATGATGGAACGAAGAATGGGGTCCCTTGTCAATATTGAGTCACCTGAAATACTGCTGCAACACACAAGTTCTCTACCTAGTATGATTAATTCCTCTGTCCTCATTGCATTGAGTAGTGACAAAATGATTAAATTAAATGTTAAATTCACAACTTTTGCCATTAACTAACCTTATATTGCCAAAAAATAATCTAATTTCATTTATACTAAAAATTTGTTTTGCTTGGCCTTCCCGATTGCTTGCATATCACTCGATGACGTAACCGTCGAAATTAGGACACGGTAATGGCGGCACCCATTGTTTATATGTCACTTTTGAACTCATTACCAATAGAAGTAGATAAGACGAATTGGATAAATCTTTACACAGGAAAGAATACAATTTAAATGATGAATTTACCGCTCAATTTATTTCAATGGATTCTTGTTTACATAAAATAAAATATTGCAACACATTGAAAGACCGTCGAAATATGGGCACACGAGGGTATATTAGTTTGTTTCTCACCAAAATCAGATTACCCTTAAAGTTTATGAGTATCGCTGTAGGAAATAAATGTTCCTAGAATTTTGATATTCAAGAAAATTTTTCGGTTTTTGGAAACAAAAAGCTACATGAAATATTTCATTGTTGGTTTAGAATACACTCACAGAGACTTGCTTGTATTTTGATCAGCATCTATCAATTATTCATTACATGCAGTCGACGTCCTTTGTAGAAGAGACTTGATCTTAAATTAATTCATGTTGTTATTATTTTTTCTGTAGGAAATCGTAAAGCCTTGGTAGAGAAGTCTGGATTAGTTAAACATGCCACCAACAGAAAACAGAAGGAATCTGGGACAAAGCCAGGCTCCTCAGATAACAGGAGTGTCTCTAACAGGTTTGTCCCTCCTTCAGTTGTAAAACAAATCCTGTGAAGCAACTATTACATGTATTTGTGTCATCTTTTATTCAAGATTCGTTTGTTTGAAATCAATCCACGACAATTAATTTTCATGACCAAGGAAACATTCTTGACAAATATTATCAAAATTATTGGTTCGTGGCTATTAATATTTGCTAATAAAGTAGGTCGCGGAACTCGCGAATATTTCTCACATGCGAATAAAAGTAAGTTTACAGTACTTCTGTGTTACAGAATCATACTTTGAAAATTTTTTTTTTTATTTTTATTATTTTTTTAGTGAGAACCAGATGTTCCTTAAAGAAGTAGTAAACAGTGTCCTGGAGGGGCAGGGAGTCAGCTGGCTAAAACTGGGGAGGATCCGGAAATTGATGGAGGACGAGAATTATAGAAACTTCATTGTCAGTAGGCTGAATCGTAACCTGGACAAGAAACTATCAGATGATATCCCTCACCTAGAAGATGTGGTATGTACCATAGTGTGAAGCCACTGGAAATGTTGAGTAACAAACTTTTAAATATTGATTTGTCATTCATTTTATTGAATGCCAGGTACATAATATACCAGTGTGACATTACTTGATGTGTAATTTACATACTGCTATGATAGATGCACTTCATTTTGGTAGAAAAATATTTTAGTATGATATTGGTTTGTAAAATGTACTTTTCTTTTCAGCCCCTAAACAAGCCAGTATACAAAGGCATGCTGACACTGGTGAAGGCCATTATCCATGGCCTGGAGCACACCTACCAGAACCATGGCCTTGGAGGCATGGCCAGTGCCTTCATGTTGCTGGAGATCATCCACACTCACTACTGGAATAAAGAAAACATCGCAGGCAGTGTACAAAGCAATGCTCCATCTGAGGTTAGTGAAATGAAAGATGTGTTGGCCTACTGTAGTTCTTCTGTAGTTCGGTGTTGCACATGTTGTATATACATGCACATGCACTATTATGGAGTGAAAATGCATGCAGAACATGTGCCTAATAGTATGCAGTATGCACATGGATGATATGCTTTGCAGAAGATTTCTTGATATAATCTACATGATTTCATGAATACTTATAAAGTATCAAATGTTCGAACCATTGAAATTTTGGGTTAGGTCCAAATGAACAATGAGTAGATTTTGCATTGCATAGTATTGCTACATTTGTCTTGAGAGATATGTGTAGCTGAATGTCTACATTGCTCCATTTGATTAGGTGTCCTCTCCTGCTGGTAGTCCTGAGAGTTCTATAAAGAGTGAAGACTCACCTCAGCAGTCAGAAACGCACAGTCTGCAGGACGAACAGATGGTCACGTTAGGTAAGCAACACTTAATTGATGTATACAGGGACATTTTTGCCTATACATGTTTTACTTATTTTCACCTGAAACAGGATCAATTTTAGCAAAGACCTTCAAGTATGTTATTCTTAATGCAACTATGTCTTGATGAACTCAAAATAGGAAAATAATTGTTTACAAGTGTGATTGAGTTGAAACAACTTATGGCAAAAATAACCCTGTATACAGTATATTATTTATCTCTACAAATTTAAGAACAACCATAAAATGTTTTAAGATTGTTATTAAATAAGCATTTGACAGTGTTAAATTTTAATACACTATTAAAAAAACTATGAATTGATAAATTTAGCTTGTAAATTGTTAAAATTCATGATATATTTATTTTTTTATTTCCTTCAATATTTGTTGTAAATTTTTTAAAGATTATTCATTTTCTTGGTCTTATACATATGTCACTTTAGTTAAATTGCTTATTCTTGCTTGCACCCTTTCCTATCATCATACATGTATGATATTTGGATATCAAAATATTTCAATGAATACACATAGTCAAGGGAAATCACCTATTTTAAAGGCTCTAAGTTTTTTTTTTCCTTTGAACTGAGGGTGAACTTTTTAACTGAGTACATTTCAATGGTATAAGATCTCTGATTGGTTAATTATATGTATAAATGGTACAAGCTCTCTGATTGGTTGGCAGGCTCTCAACGTTCAGGGTGGTGGTCAGAACGACCCACTTCTTCCTCTGCAGCCTACCATTTTTCTGACCTTTCGACTTCTAGAACTGAACCAGGTATGTACCGACCACACACCCTAAATGACCAATCACAGAATAATGTGAAGTCATGTGATCAATGTAATAAGTGATGGTGATGAAGTTTAGTTTCATTTCAGACCTTTACTTTTGTGTGTTGCATGTTGGTGTAGGTGCTTATTTCTGCTTGATTAAACTAATTTTGAAATTTCAGTTGCTTATATTGCCTAGCATTTATTAACATAGCTTTCAAACTTATTTGCAATCATATTTTGAAGGATAGATTATTTCAACACTGGCTGACGGATATTTTAATAGATTATATGTGAAATTAATAAAAACATTTTTTTCGGACTTGCTCTTCTGAAATACATATACTAGCTGGTATCTAATTAGAGGCCAAAGTAAAAATGCATCAAAATATTTCATAGAATTGTTTTGCGAATAAATATCAGCACAGTTGATATAATCTTAATGAAATTTCAATTTATTTTCATGTAGACCTATATGTCATTTGCCACTATTTGTATCTCTTTTTTCCTGAAAGAATAAAAATAGTACTATGGACATTTCTTGAAAAGATAGGGTTTGACTTCTAATTACCCTAGGTTCACCTATATTGGTCAATGGAGAGGAATTTCAGAATATCGAAATTCATACAACATCAGAGTTGAGGAGAAGACAGAAAATGGTTGTGCTAGACCAGAACCGAAACACTGCTAAAATGTCACCAGGTAACTGGGTCACAGGTCATAGATTATCATTACTGTTTTGGCAAATGACAGCGAGATGCATTTTTCTTCAGTTTTTAGAGTGTTTTATTTTTCTGTTTTTGCTAGAATAGCGCTATAGTTATAGCCATGCATATATAGAGACAGTGTGCAATGTGTAAGATCAAAATCTTAGTTTAGAAGCATAATGACTGGAAAACTGTGCAAAATAAAAATGTACCTGTAAATTTCATAGTATGCAGTATGCAGCCTTATAAATTGGGAAAATACACAAGATTCATACAGTTCTATGATAGTTTTTAGTATTAAGATTGATTTTGGATTATTTTATGATATTAGGCTGCTACTTTTGAGCTGACATTTTTTATGTAGGGCATCACTGTGATATAATTGTAACAAATTCTCCCAATGAACCTAACTCGCCCACACAACTGGATGTGATGAGACAAATGGTGAAGAACAAGGAGTTGATGGGAGAGATTAACTTTGACAAGCGCTGCAGCATCGAGTCGGAGATGTCTGAGGCCAGCACGCTGATCAGCACCAGCTCAGAGAACATCGGGGAGGAGGAGGGGCGCAGGAGGAGGAGAATCAACCACCACAGCATCAGGAGTACACTGTCTGATAGCGAGATGGAAATGTCGGGGGTAGGCTGTTGCTTGCTTTTAAAAAAGGGCTAAAAAGTTTGGTTGTTTATTTCAGCTAGATTAATTTTAGGGTATCAAGAAAGTGGATGGTTTTCAGCTAGTGGTATTTTCCTTCTTAAAAAACATAAATCATTGAAATTACCTTCTTTATTTGCAAGTTTAGGGGTTGGGATGGGGGGCAGAATTGTTTCTAGCTGATTTGAGCTTTAACCAACAAATGATAATAGATTAGGTACAGAAAATGTAGTACGGAGATTTGTAAATTGTAGGTGGTGAACTATAACAAGAAAAACAGGTCACCAGGCACCTGGACCAGCAAGAGCAATCTAAGTACAGGTTACCGTTATTACGACGGGAAAATGGTCAACACCTCACCAGTCCCACACTCCAGTCACAGTCCAGAGAATGCCAAACAGTACTTATTTGAGGCTTTGATTGGTAAGCCACTGTTTTATCTACAGAATGTTCATGTATACTTTCATGTTTTTGTGAACAAAACAATTTGACTGAATCCATTTTTTTTTTTTAGATTTCGTGTTAGTGTTATCGAAGGGAATTTGGAATTTTTTGTTTTATTTTTTAGGAAAGGATCGCAGCCGTTTATGGGATCAGATGCAGTTTTGGGAGGATGTATTTTTAGATGCAGTGGCTCAGGAGAGAGATATCATTGGAATGGATCAGGGTCCAGCTGAAATGATTGACAGGTGAATTTACAGTTTTTCCAATACAATGTGATGATTAAAACAATTGTAAATGGTCCAAATATGTAATGCATATACATCATGCTTATTTATTGTTTCTTTAACACAATTTTATTGTGATCTATTGCTGTAAAAGTTATTGAATATGCTCTTATAGGTATGTTTCTCTGGGAGACTTGGAGAGAAAAAGGTTAGAACATGATGAGGACAAGCTGCTGGCCCACATGTTATATAACATCACAGCCTTCATGGTGATGATGAGAGTGTCTAAGACAGAGGTCAGGAAGAAGATCCGGCGACTGCTGGGAAAGTCCCACATAGGACTGGCCTACAGCGCAGAGGTCAACAACCTGCTGGACCAGATAGGCAACCTGGTAAAACTTGTTATAATTATACATTAACAACATCCAGTTTAAAATGGGTCAATACAGATTAGTTTAAGATGTGCCTGTAAAAAATTATTAAACAGATATACTGTATAGTTATAAAAGATGTGCCTGTAAAAATTATTTAACAGATATATTTAAAAGTCTCCATTTTGCTATATGTATGGGTGTAATTCATGAGGAGAATCATTTAAGGAAGCGGAAAAAATTGGAAGCTGGTCAGATTGAATTGTTAAATCTTTATGGTGTTTAAATCCATGACAAATATTCCATTTCTCTTTTTAGCATGGAAATGACATTGATTTGAGGCCTATGCAGAGCAGGTTCATGCAGAAACAGTCTTTCACGGTCCACTGGGGAGGGGATAACACGGGGGATATGTTATTTATGGAGGTACAGCTATATGTTTAGAGAAAAAAAAATCATTAATCGTGGTTATAAATTGGCATTTAAAATTTGAAAAAAAATATAGGGAATAGTGCATGTATGTGTTGGTTTTTTTTTTTTTTGAATGTTTAAGAGTTGTAAATATTTAAAGAAATAGTAGAGATAAGTGATCGATAAAAAAAGAATATCTCTTTCATGAATTAATTTATATTGCTTCAGAATATAAAGTTGAGCAATTTTACATGTTAACTTGCTATTCTATTCTTGTTATACACTGTATCAAATGCTTTAGGTTTGTGATGACTGTATTATACTGAGAAGTGTGACAGGAGCCATCTGTGACAGATGGTGGTATGAGAAGCTCGTCAACATGACTTACTGTCCTAAAACCAAAGTACTGTGTCTATGGAGGAAACATGGGGAGAAAGTCCAGCTAAACCAGTTCTATACAAAGAAGGTGGGTAGATCTGTAATTTCACTGTATTTGTACACATAAGGTCATATAATTTGATTTGCTGATTCCTGAGAATCCATACTTATCAGTTTTCTGTATTAATCACATTGTTAAAAAAATTGTTCTCATCAATGTGAAATACAAATACCAGGTGTACAGTATATAGAGTTTTTTTCTTTTTGTAAAAAAATGTTGTCTGCCAAATGTTTTTAGATAATTAAAGTAGTGAAAAATTCCCATTTAAGAAATTAACATGTTCTATACAAATATTAACATCTGAAATGTTGTATTCAGTGTAGGGAACTTTATTTCTGTGTCAAAGAATCAATGGAAAAAGCAGCAGCAAGGAACAATGGAAAATTGCCAGGTATTCAAAGGAAAAAACGTTAAAATGTTCTTATATACCCCATAAAATCATGGAAGGGGGGGTTATTTATACATACTCAAGGGGTTTGCCTTAATATTTGAATTTTAATAACAAAAATCATAATGAAAAGTAATTAATTATTAATTTAAATTAAGTTCGATATACATGTAGTTTAAAAAAAGAAACAATTTCACAGGTCCAGAGCTTGGTGGGGAATTCCCTGTACAAGACATGAAGTCAGGACAAGGAGGTCTTCTCCAAGTGTGCATGGAAGGCATTGGATTACTCTTAGCCAATAGCAAGGTGAGATGCTGCTAAATAAACCAATCAGTAGGCTTCTTACAATTCTTTTGTCTCTCCAGTGAAAATCTTGACTTGAAGTATCTTGAGTCCCTATTGGCAAGTGTTGCTGCTTATAAAATCTAGCAAAAATATCTGTATATTTTAAAACTTTAATGCCATTTGGCTGGTAACGTTATCAGTGGGTGTTTTGCATTGCCTTGCAGAACAGCCACATAGTTTTATAAAATCATTTCAATAAGTTTTGAGTGGACGACTTCATTTCAAGCAGTCAGCCTTTGCAAATAGGAGAAAAAAAAACACACTTGCCAATAGTTGTGAACAGACAAACACTGTATATATGCACTTGTTGTATGATTGTCTTCCCCAACTTGTAAATATGTGAAGAATGTCTGTGGGATGGCAATACAATCTGTGAGGCACCAAGTCACATGCACCACCAACTGACCTTGAGCTTAAACATTGACCTTTAAGGTCATTAACAAACAATGGCTGCAAGGTTGATGATTAAGTTTGGTTATATGGTGGTGCAGTGATGACTAAGCCACCTGAACATGCATGCTGTTGTCTACAGACAGCTTTATTTGTTGTTAATAACTAACCTTTTTCACTACTGGCTGTTGTTTTTATGTACTGTTTGAAATTTTTTGGTACCTTTTTTTTAACTTTTGAAATTTTTTGTCATTATTTGGTTATTGATTTTTTTTTTTAAATCAAAAGCATACACATTAGCAGCTATTCTGCTTTCGTTTTGACCTTGGAAGTTTGAGTTTTACAAAAATTCCCTATACCTTGATATTTGATCTGGTAATTTTTGGTCTTCATATTTTAATTCAATATTGATCATGTTTATAAAATAGAAAACTTTTTGACCAAGAGGTTTAGATATTGATAAAGGTCAAGGTGTTTTGCATTGCCCCCCCCCAAAAAAGTTTTATAAAATTGTTTCAGTTTAACTGAATATGAACTGTACCATAAAGAAATAGTAATAGCTGCAGTGCATTATGATTAATTTAACAGTAAAGTGAGCATGTATTTGTACAAAATGGAGTCATTCTACTTTATATATGAATTACATTACACATTAGAAACGTGTGTGAATTTTCCTAATTTCCACTGTGGATAATACATGTATCTTAGTCCCTATGAACTAAAATAAAAGATCAATGAAATCTTTTTAACATTTTAAAAAATATTATTTTTTCAAGTCCAACATTTTATTTGTGAAACGTGAACTTGTTTTTATGTACTGTTTGAAATTTTTTGGTACCTTTTTTTAACTTTTGAAATTTTTTGTCATTATTTGGTTATTGATTTTTTTTTTAAATCAAAAGCATACACATTAGCAGCTATTCTGCTTTCGTTTTGACCTTGGAAGTTTGAGTTTTACAAAAATTCCCTATACCTTGATATTTGATCCCCTAATTTTTGGTCTTCATATTTTAATTCAATATTGATCATGTTTATAGATAGAGAACTTTTTGACCAAGAGGTTTAGATATTGATAAAGGTCAAGGTCATGCCCCCCCAAAAAAATCAGAAATTGTTTCAGTTTAACTGAATATGAACTGTACCATAAAGAAATAGTAATAGCTGCAGTGCATTATGATTAATTTAACAGTAAAGTGAGCATGTATTTGCACAAAATGGAGTCATTCTACTTTATACATGAATTACATTACACATTAGAAATGTGTGTGAATTTTCCTAATTTCCACTGTGGATAATACATGTATCTTAGTCCCTATGAACTAAAATAAAAGATCAATGAAATCTTTTAACATTTTAAAAAATATTATTATTTTTTCAAGTCCAACATTTTATTTGTGAAATGTGAACTTGTTGTTTGTTCATTAATATTGTTTATCCTTCCCCCTTTTTCTATTTCTTGAATGAACGTTCAGTGTTACTGAAAAAGTCTTAAAGAACGGCAGCATTTATTTGTTTGTTTGTTATTTTATTCTCATAAAAATGTATAAACTTTGCATTTTAATTATTTCATAATGTGACTGTAGCTTGTACTATGGTTTTAAATGGTATAAAAGATTTGGTTTTAAATTATACTAAAAAAAGATGGTATAAAACATTTACTTTATTTTTATATCTAGCTTTGTATTTGCAATAATACAATTGTTTTGATTGCTGACATTGACCTAGATAAAAGTAGGTCAAGGTCAAAATTTAATGCTGTGGTTTTATTTAAGGCTGTTTTATGACTAGACATGCATTTTAAAATATTTTCTCTTTTTATGTCTCTTTGCTATCTTCTCCATGGTATAAAGGACTTTGAGGTAATTGTTGTATATGAAGTGTTTTGCAAGATATGATAGTGATATTTTTTGTTTTGCCTCTGAATATTGATTAGATATTTACACTTTTTTGAGTGCAATACATTTCATGTATATGAAAATCAATCATCAAAAAAAAAAGTGTCACAAAAGAGAGACACAGAAAAACAAAATAATGTTCCTGTACAGTGTGTTTAATGCCAACATTTTGGTATAAGATTTTTGATATGAAATGTGTTGCACAAGTGATCAAAATTTATTTCCTGCACTATGATATGACAGTATTTGATGTTGTGAGACACTGATAGATATTTACTTGTGTGTTTCCAGATAGTCTTAGAAAATTTAGCCTTTTGTTTACATTATTTCTTTTATTCTCCTCCCTTACCAAATCCATTTTTTGGAATATTCAGAGTGACTTACACACTTTTTTTCGGGCAGTGTGTAACGAAGACACACGAAAAATGTGTTCATCCAAAAAAAATTTCAAGAAAATTGTCCCTTTACTGCCATATTTAGAATTCACAGCTTTGTGTAAAAGTGTGCTTTAACATTTTTCTTTCAGTTATTTATTGAGCTAGGTCGAATCAAGAAATGTTTCACCCAGAAAGGCGGGATTTTTGTATTAGAGGAATTTGGTAAGGATTACCCAGCTCTTGTTTCTTTTTCTTTTAAATTCATTTTTCGTTGTGTGTTATGACCTTCCTCTTTGATATTGTTGGATGTTAAATGCTCAGCTATCTAGCACTCATCATGAAGCATTGCTGAGAAAAAAAAATCTAATTTATTTCTGGCAATGGTTCATGATATATCCTTCAGCTAATAGATTTTGCTTTAGAAGTTACAATGATTGAAAGCATTTATGAAACTTTACAGCAATGTTTTGATTTTTTTCTTCTTTCTGAGAAAGCTGTATTCTTAAATTGTTTTTCAAAATTTCTACTAGTAAAATTTTGCACAAAATGTGATTCTTTATTAAACTTAAAGGGTCTGCATGATCACAAAACTGAAGAAAAAATAAAAATTTGGAAGGGGATAGATTTGAATTTTTGAAATATATAACAAATTTCTGTTTTAAACATATCTTCAAGCAGTATAATATGGGTTTATCATGAAATGCATGAACTGTGAACAAAAAAAAAAAAATTATAAAAGCATATATGTTTTTTGATGTTGTAATTTTGATACATCCTAATTAAAACTAGATGTAGAGTTTTTTCTACCAAGCTCCTTATTTAATACAAAGGAATGGGGAGCAAAAATTAAAAATCTTATCTCAATTAAATTAATTTTTTTAAATAATGAGAATTGTTTTTGGAAATATCATCAAAAAATCTGAAATTTACTAGAGTCTTGGGATATAAGCAAAAATTCAAGTTCAGACCATTTTTTTTTTGTTTTTGAAAGCACCTCTCTTATAAAAAAAAAAAATGAGGTAAAACTGAAGATGGATGCCAAAACTTTTTAAATGTCAAATATGAATAATTATTTTCTGCATGGATGTGCATACCTTATTTTGATGTTGAATATTTTCTACTTAAAATGTCATTTTCAATCTAAAATGGGTCCTACACTGTACCACTGGAAGATTCAGTATATGATGCCATAAATTCATAGATATACATTAAAATTATTCTTACTAGTGCATTTTTTTCAAAAGAATAGCCTAAGTTAATTAATATCTACTGTACTTAAATGTGAATTCAGTGTTATTTCTGTGTAGAATCTAAATATCGCTTAATATTCTATGTTGTAAACACTGACCAAAATTTCAGACAGCTTTCTTTCTATATGTTTCATTTCAACCTATTTTTAGATTCCAAAGATCGGCAAGTAATTCAGCACAAATTCAAGTCCAGAATGGTACGTTTCTGACTTTATGTTGGCGTTGTAATGTGTTAGTGCTTTTAATTTTGCAATTTAGAATAAAATGAGTTGACAGCAAGAAAAATTCATTTCAAGTATATATTTTACCAGATGTGAAAAGTAATTGTAATTAATAAAGCAGCCCTTGCTTAAATCATGATTTGAAAACATATTGCATAGTACATGTATATGTTAGAATTTGCTTATTGCTATCATGGTACTACCAGTTTGTTCCAAGGTTGTTACCTAAGTATTTTAATGGCTGAGCAGTTTTACATTAATCAATGAAACAGCAATATAAGCTTCATCAGCACTTTAAATTTTATTTTTAATTTAGAGATATATTACATATTTCTGTTAATTATAACACCACAGAATTGATGTATGAGTAACAATTACCATCTTCGCAAGCCAAGGGATTTCGGTCTGCTTCGCTCTCCATAAATGCATAGAGCGAGTAGAGAGCAAAGCGGACCAAAAACCCTTGGCTTCTGAATATGAACAAATTACAGACACAATTCTTTCTTTGGTAATGGCATTGTTATATAGGATGTTGTCTGCATGTTCTGTGTCCTTGTTTCTACAGGCCAATCAGCTGGCATTCATGGTTCATCGCATCTTTACTGTGCAGCATGCCCGATTAAGATCGTTCAAAGAAATAGAAAACCCTTCTGGCAGTATGCTACATTGTTTCAAATCTTTTGTTTTATATTAACCAAGTTGAACTAACCACACCAAAGTTTTTTTAAGCTCACACAGATTTTGAATTAACTTCCAATAACCAAGATGAACTAACACTTTAAAACTAATGCTACAGAGATGCTGAATTTTTTCCTTTCTTTTTTTCTTTAAATAACCATAGGATTTGATAGTCTGACAATAACAATCTAAGCTTGCCTGCTACATTTAACTCACACATTTCTGTTCGAAAATTTTGAAGAAGGCACTACTTTTTCTTAAATGTCACCTAAGTGTTACAGTAGATGATTATACCTGCAGTATAGTATTAAACCTGTTTTAACAAGGTACATGTACAGAAATTCCTTGTCATCAGTTCACTGTTTTTCACTATTTTTAGATCAACTTCATGTTTTATAGAAAAGAAATTATTCAAAGAATAAATGGATGTAGATAGTAAATTACTTGATAAAGTAATAGTACTGTATACTTGGAAACTTTTTGTCCTTGCTTTATTTTTGCCACCATTATGGTACATGTATATGAAATTAAGTATAGACAGAATTATTTCTCATTTGACAGAACAATGGGTGAATTTTAAATAAGACATGGTTTGCAAATGTGTCAAGGCAAAAATAACATGACATCGGGATGAAAATAAATATGATTGTGATATTTTACTGTATATGCTATGTGTAAGCTTGGTTTGTATCTGTGAAGTTAATGAAGTCCTATTTTTCTTTACAGGCTGATCAGATCTGTTACGCTGTCCTCTGTGTTTTCTCCTATGTTGCCGCGGGAATGGAGCAACAACAACAGCAACGAAGGCAGACTTAGTATTAGGTCATTGTGTTCTCTTGTCTGATTTGTTTACAAGCACCTGATTAATCTAAAGCAAAATGATCTTCTTGTGAAGATTTTTTTTCCCTGTTGAGATTCTAGTAATTAATTAACTGAAAGTGACTACTTGATAAGGCTTTGATTTTCATAGATAAGAATGAAATTTAAAGGATCTCTTGCCAAACCATGCAGATATACTTTTTATTTACACTTCCATTTTGGGAAAAAAGCTAAAATAATCTTAATACACATATTTACCTCATTTTTGATTAGAAAATTGCTCAAGTATTAAGTCATATTCTATGACGATATATTTACCTGATTTTGTATATCCAGTGTGCCAGAAATCTTAAAAATCTGAAGAAATTTCTGATAAGAATTGCCAAATATCTTATACCATTGTAAAGGAATGAAACAGATGGAAATTTAGATTTTTGGTTTTAACTGGGAGCAATTCCATATATAGATGTATTTTGAAACGATGATTTGTATTGCTCAGTTTCAAACAACTAAATTCCCATTTTAAAACAGTAAATCATAGAATTGCTGATACATGTTCATGCTTATAGACAAAGTTTTGTATCGTGTAAACTGTTTCAAAATGGGAGTCTTCCACATGGAATATAGTTGAAATATGTATTGGTCTAAGGGTACAGCTGTTATGTTCTGTCACTGATATTATAAACTGTAATAGTGTTTGAATGAAAGCTCACTCAACTTCTCTTCTATGTAAGAAAAAGTATTGATATTCTTATCTGTCACTTAAAAAATTAAGGGGTTATTTTTATACGACTCTTGAGATGAATTTATTTTTTCACTTGACAAAGATGATAGAATTTATTTTTTTCACTATGTATTGTCTGTCTTCTCGCTGTTGTTGTTGTTGTCGTCATGGAGACAGAGGACCTGTTGTGATTGGATGGATCAGTCAACTAAAAATGGAGGATAACAACTAATCTTTGTGATAATTTTTCAAAGAAGTCCGTATTATAGAGAACATGACTTGTTACAATAGTTCAACCAATGATGAAATGATAAAGAATCTCTTTATATTCTCAATATTATACGCTGTATAGGGAACTATCTCCTAATTTTAATTTTTGGAATCTCAATGATTTTTGTCTTGTATGATATTTCTGTGCATTTAAATCAACTGAAATGTGTTCTGTAACAATTCTTTTTGTGGTAACTAAAGCCAAAGGATCTGATTCCACTATTTGAATTTTTTTATGTTGTTGGCAATTTAAAAAAAAAAATCAAAATGTTTGGAAGTTTCAAATACACGTAGGAAGGGTTGATACAAAGTAACATTTTTGCAATACCAAAGAAAAAAATATTCTTGGAAGTATAAGTCATTAGTTTCACTTATAGCTTACCTGAGCCAAACTCTTGAGTTAGATTTACAAATCAATTTTTTTTTAGCATTTGTATTTCTGCTGTTGGCCAATTGAATACACAAATAGTCCATTTTATGTAGGGGTGTGTATTGAGCCAAAAATTTCGATACGATACGATACGATATTTTTTAAAGCGATATGCGATATATTGGATTCTAAAATAAGTCCATAAGAAAAGGCTTCTAAATCATTTTAATGCATGAATTTCATAACAACTTAGTGTTTTATTACCCATTTTAAAGTTCTTGTCCCATTGTCATTACAAAAAACACTTCAAATTAAAACTTTTAATGACACTTAAACCAACATGTTTAAATAAAATTCTCTTTGTATTTTGTAATAATTATAAAATTGTGTTATTTCCTTACAAATTATATAATTATTGAACAGTTTTAATTCAAAAAAATCGAAATATAATCTTTTGTGATTGAAATTCCCATCTTTTTAACAGAATTAGAAGAAAAATTGTCTCTCCAATACGTATTGGAAATTATTTTTGCGAATATTATTTATTGCTGTTTTTTCAAAATTTAGATTTAAAGTTGATATATGTTACGATTTGTGATATATTTATGGTTGTAGATACAGCCCTAATTTTATGTTCTTTAGATTCAAGGTTGTTCAAAACATAGCCTAAGGGAATAGATTTTGACGACTATCGGGAAACTATTTTTTTTATATAAAAACATTTTGACATCTTTAAAAAAGATTAAGAATGCTAAATTTTTTCAAGTTGACATCAAGTCACAATATAAATAAAAATAATAAGTAAACATATTATGGTATATAAAATTGTCGAGATGAAAAGGTTTGGGCTCAGGTGAGCATTGAAGTGTAGGGACCTTTCTTTATGCACATATTACTGATTTCAAATTTGCAGTAAACACTTTACTAAACTTTATTCCGACACTGATAAAAATATGTCAACAAAAATTTGAATTTGTATGACAGACTCCCAAAACTAGTTGAGTTCTGCGAATATTATTTATTGCTGTTTTTTATGCAAAAATTAGATTTAAAGTTAATACGTGTTATGATTTGTGATATAATGTTATGGTTGTAGATATAGCTTTAAGTCCTTAATTCATACATGTAATAAGTTATTCAATTTGTGTGTGTGTGCATGTCTCATGTTATAATTATTACATCTACTAGTATAGATGTGCAGGTGTAAGCATAAATACAGATTTGGCACTTATATACATTTATACAATTTATTTATTAATTTCTACATTCCATATGAAATCCATCAGCATTCCATTTGCTTTCCCCGAAGATTTTTAGCAAACAATGGGTATTTTCATTTTTTGTATATAGATTTTTTTTTTCATTGAAAATCGGCTGATAAAATAATTTCCTTATTTGATTCTACTATTTGTTAAATTCTTAGCAATACATTGTACTTTCGGCATAAAATTGTTCAAATCACTCGATTGTCACTACTGTAAACAAAGCCATGTGCCCCTGTAATCTCGTGAGATTTGAGCTTTCTCGACCCCCCGCTTTGTTTAGAAACTGCAGAAATCATATTTCGTATTCCTATATATTAAAACACAAAATCATAACTTACTATTCAGGGTATTGCACATGCAATTTACGCATTTCGATGAATTCCTTATTGTAATATCAAACATTCCTTTGATTTTATTTAATATTACTGATTAAAATGCATATATGTCACTGGGAAGTTGTTGAATAATGCTCAGGTGACCTATAAGGCCCAGGGGCCTCTTGTTAATTTCTACATTCCATATGAAATCCATCAGCATTCCATTTGCTTTTCTCCCAGATTTCTAGTAATGGGTATTCAATTTTTTGTATATAAATTTTTTTGTTTACAATGTTGAAATCCATGTCAAAATACAATTTCTGTACATTCCTTGATTATTTTTAAGACACAAAATCAGAAATTACTATTCAGGGTATTGTACATGCAATTTACACATTTGGATGAATTCCATATTGTTATATCAAACATTTGTTTGATTTTATTTACAACACTTTAATGTATGTGCTTTTATTTTTGAATTTCAAAAGTTATTACTTATATGAAATGTTTGGTACATAAAGCTGCATATGTAATTTTGTCAGGGAAAGTTGAAATTTGTTTTGAATTATTAGTACATGTATGTACTTGGTTCTACGGTACTTTTTCACCTATTTTGTTCGTCTTGATAATTTCTGAAGGCATTCTGGCGCTGGAGCCATAAAAAAATCTGATGGGCATTCTTTTGATCTCAGTGTCACTTTTACAATAAAGTGTGAAAAGTGAGACTGAGAACAAAAGTGAGCTTGTCCAAGTTGTATGGCCCAGAGCTTGAACTTTATTTGGGTGGCATTAAAACTTGTGCAATATTTGAGATATTTTGGTTTCTTTAACAATTCTGAAAATCCATGAGCATGCATATTTTAAATGTAGAGTTAGTTCATCTCTTTCTTTGACACTTAACAAAAATTGGAAAGGATGCCCTTGTGAATAGATATGTAACTGCTTGTAAAGCAGATGTACTAACATACAATTTCAGGAATTGAGAAAAAGCACCTTTATTTAAACAGAGAATTCTAACATTTGATTGGATGTGTGGATGCCACTGTGTAGAAATTTGTTCTAAACTAATGTAATATGTGCAATAATAAAACTGTTATCTTTATTTCTGAGTTATACTTTCAGAGAGGAATAAACAATAATATGGAACACATATTTCAGGGTTGAGATTTGAAAACCATTACTTTTGATATTTAAGTGCAGACACTGTAAGAGTTCACAACATTTTCTGTTCAGGGTGTATACGTGTACAATTTTACAATTTACAGTAAAATACGATTATATTGAACACGCTTATAATGAATTGATGTTAAAAGCAAAGTGATTCGTTCCCCGTGGGTCATAAACATTTTATAAAGCTATTTAAAATACGTTTATTGCGAAGCAAAATCGCTTGTCCCTGGCACTTCGTTATAAGTGAACCCGGATTTAGAATATTTCTACTCAAAAGTGGGTCACAAATACCTCAAATTAAAAAGCAGCTAAAACAGTAGCCGACTGGTCACTCAGTTCTTTCTGAATATACAGTGGTTTTGGCATTAATGGAGTGGCCAAACCTAGAGAGTCCATGCATCTTTGGGCACAGGGATTTGTCAGTCCAAAAGTAGGTCACAGTGATATATTAAATACATGTGTATAAAATTTTATGCATTCTTTCAAACCTTTTGAGCTTGGATCCTTGATATTCCTCTTGGTCTCTGGCTATACTGCCTCAAAAGTAGATGCAGTGTATTGGTAACAGTATTATGCAATTTGTAAGAACGATTATAAACCATAAGCTTTTTGTCAAACCAAGAATCATCCGTAAAATGTAGGAATCTAAAATGAAATAATTTAAATAAGGAGTTTGAAGTCTTCAGTAGTTTTAATAATTCATGTCTGCTTGTTTGATTGCTCGCTGTACGTTCTGGAACAAGAAAACGGGAAGAAAGTTAAACATCTCTAAATCGTTCATTAAATTGTGTAATCATAAAGACTGCTTGGAAATTCTGAAGTTTAGATGAATAGAAAGTCTATATAAAATTATATTTATCCATTCTTTGATGCAGATGCATTGATTTTATCATAATTGATATAATGTCATTATCAATGTAGGGTAGATTTTGATGAATAATTTAACACAGTCGTGACAATTCGGCTAAAAACGGCTTATTTGGTGTAAATCTAGGTAGGGTTGAAACATAAACTATTGGAGGTGAGTATATCTTCAAATTTGTAAATTTGAGCTGCACTGGGAAAGGGCGGGGGGGGGGGGGGGGGGGGAGTGGAACTGAACTTTCTGTAGCTTGCCAGTAGATGAACATTATATATGAATCCCCCTTTCATGTCGCACAAGCATGCATACTGACTTGTATTGTTCTAATCAGAAATTTTAGGATGTTCGCTTGTCGCTTTCTAAAATTAAGATAGTGCGAATGTTTAGATAAAAATTGAGTGTGTAAATTCAAAAGGAGAGGATGGTAATGCGCCCTAAGTGAAGAAACCTAAACTCAAATGAGGCTATTGTAAATAAAATAAATAAATTATGTGTTTGTGAAATACTGATACCCACGTATGCCAACATAGCGAAGGTTTAATTTTCTCAAATGCAAAACAGTAGGTAAAACTCCAAGGTCAAGGGTAAAAATGAAAGTTCTCGTCGCAAAGAATACATAAGTGAAGTATGAGAGTCTCATCACCAGCCATTCAAAAGTTTTGACCAAAGTAAATGTTGGGAATTTTGGTGTAAAAGTGTGTCAAACCCTAACGTCAAGGTCAAGAGGTCAAATTTGGTGGTACCCAAAGAAAGGTCTTGTCACAAAGAATACACCTGTGAAATATGAAAGCCATAGTCCCACCCAGTCAAAAGTTATGGGCAAGGTTCAAGTTTTTTTTTGACAGACAGACAGACGGACGGACAGGGCAAAACTATATACCCCCCGAAACTTCGTTTACGGGGGAATAAAAATGAATAACTGTTTAGTCAATGTTTTAATTTGTACAAAATAAAAACAAACACACACACACACAAAAACCAAGGTGTGTTTGTGAAACACTGATGCCCCTTATGGCAACATAGCGGAGATTATTAAACTTTCCTAAATTCAAATTAAAAATGTTGGTAGCCAAAGTAAGGTCTTCTCACAAGAAATACAATTGTGAAATATGATAGCCCTAGCACCACCTATTCAAAAGCTATGGTTAAGAATTTGAAAGGTATGTCAAATCCAGGGTCAAGGTCAAAGTTGTTAGTTTCTAAAGAAAGATCTTGTCACACGGATTACATATGTGAAGTATGAATTGATTGATAGTATATTGTTTAACTTCCCTCTCGAGAATTTTTCACTCACACGAAGACGTCACCGTATGCCGGTGAAGGACTTCAAATTTAGACCTATATTCGGCACTCAGGGCCATTGAGTAGTGAGGGTTCTTTATCGTGCCAACGCTTACCGTGACAAGGGACCTATATTTTTAAGGTCATATCCGAAAGACACATGACTTTCACTTCTAGTGCCGAGCGCCTGGCGAAGGTACATTTACTACCTATGTTTACGTCTTAGGCATAACGCGGTGCCGCGAACGAGAATCGAACCCAAGCCTCCCGATCATGAAGCGAACGCTCTACTTCTAGGCTACCGTGACCAGTTGTGTAAAGTATGAAAGCCCTAGCCCTAACCACTCAAAGTTATGGCCAAGGTTAAAGATTTTAAAAAGTAGGTCAAACTCCCAGGTCAAGGTGAAAGGGACAAAGTCGTTGGTATCCAGTGAAAGGTCTTGTCATAAGGATTAAATATGTGAAGTATGAAAGCTCTAGCCCTAACCCTTCAAAAGTAATAGTCAAGGTTTTTATAACGTAGGTCAAACTCCAAGGTCAAGGTGAAAGGGTCTAAGTTGTTGGAATCCAATGAAAGGTCTTGTCACAAGGATTACATATGTGAAGTATTTTTGAAAGCCCTAGCCAAATGTGCTTTCAACCCTTCAAACTTTCAATCATTATGTAATAAAATGTGTATATTCAAGGTTTTTATAAAAAATAATACAAGTAGGTCAAACTCCAATTTTGGTCAAGGTGAAAGAGAGATGACATCACAAATTGTTTTTGCCCTTTTAATTGGTTTCTATCCAAATAAAACTGAAAGGTCTTGTCACATGGATTACATATTCACAGTGAAAAAATAATTTTAAATGTATAACAATGTTTTAAAGCCCTTATCAGCCCTTACCGTTTTTTGAAGTAACAAAAGTTATGACCAAGGTTAAAGGTTTTTTATAAGTACAGAAATATCCAAGGTCAAGGTCAAAAGCTCAAAGTTAATGGTCTTGCCACAAAGAATTACATATGTGAAATATGAAAGTCCTAGTATCTACCGTTCAAAAGTTATGACCAAAGTAAAAGTTATAAATTTTTGTGTTAAAGTGGGTCAAACTCCAAGGTCAAGGTCAAGAGGTCAAATTTCGTGGTACCTACAGAAAGGTCTTGTCACAAGGAATACACATGTGAAATATGAAAGTCATAGCTCCACTACATCAAAAGTTAAGGGCAAAGTTTTTGCGGACAAACAGAAAGACGGACGGACACGACAAAAACTATATACCCCCAAATTTTTGATAACGGGGGCATAAATATGTGGAAATCTATATCAAAAGAAAGTCACGGAATTGTTTGCAAGTATCATTATTTTATTCTTTCCGTGCATCCCTGTTGTCACTTTTCAATAGATCATTTCTTATCATTCTGATCGGAGTTGCAGTTGCCAGCAATCGAAATTACATTTGTCATGTTTATGTATAAGTTGTTCTGTTCACCATAATTTGTACTTTTGTAGATGCTTGGGCAAAGCTTAAAGAATTATTTTCGTCGGGCATCCCTGGCTCAAAAACTGGTTGATGACGCCGAATCCATCAACCAAGACTCTGAAACTGGAAGTGTGAGAGAGTTTCCTTCCACCGAGATAGAAATCAACGAAGAGAAGGATGACGACATTCAAATCCCAACAACGGACTACGAATCGTCAGTGGGAAGAAAAGAGGGACAAGCCTTGAATGTTAAGATGATGGCGAAAATGTTTACAGAGAAGGGCATTGCTCAGAATATTCTCCAACCTGCTCAAAATATTCTCCAACCGGCTACAGTAATTTGCCAAGAAACGACAAAGGCGAAACCAGAAGAGGAGGTGAAAGCAAGACCTCTACAACGCAGTGAGAGCATGACGTCATCTTGTGTTTCAGTTATTGAACGTGTTGAATCTCCGAACCTTTTTCCGGAGAAGGTTCAGTTACCCACCAAAATCCAAGTTCAGGAAGACAAAGAGATAAAAGGTACGCAAGAAGACATCAAGAAGAGAAAACGACGGAGACATAAGCGAACCAACAAGAAATGCAAAGAATCGGATACGGAAAGCTGTGAATCGGATGATTTCAAAAATGGAAACTGGATGCTTCAACAAAATAATGAAAAGAAAGATAACTATATCAAAATCACCATGGAAGATTTGAAGGAATTGATATCAGGAGGGAAAGGAACACAGTTGAAGAACACAGCATCGAAACATGACATGGAGATGAAACTGCGACGCTTGGAATCGGTAGATTATGACTGCACGGACACAGAAACTCTTAACAGTGGATTATCCTTCAGCAGTGGGAATTCCCAGGATGCACTTCTTCCCATGCATAAACGGACATCATCGTTGCATCTGGTCAACCCGGCAAGGGTTGGGATTCTGAAACGATTCCTTCCATCTATAAATGTGGAAGAGTCCCAAAGTTCTGACTCGGTCCAAACCGGAGATACCTATCTCTATGACATGCCAGCTACACCTCGTGTGAACTATCCCGAAAAACGAAGAAAAAGTCTTCAGCCAGAAATGCTGAGATACTACGACAATTGCCATTCTTCACTGCATATGTACACAGATATGCTAAAGGGAACAAGCAGACGACATCGTTACCAAAACAAGGAATTCTACGATTCCTCTTTTCGACGACCAAGCATGAATCCAATGAAGCCCTCAAGATATGGAGTAAGTTTTGAAGATGAACACTTTAACTACGATGGAGAACTCGAGGACGAATTCGACTGTCATCCATATTCAGGTTATCAACCAATGAAGACAAGAAAACCCATGATGGTTCCTAACCGTAGGTTGTCTGTTCAACCAGACGGTGTCTGGAACACCCCGATGAGTATGCCAATGAACAGTGACCCACAAATAGGATTTACCCAACCTTCTCAGATCGTTCAACAAGTTCCTGTTCCCGTACTAGTTAATCAACAACCTGCGGTTAGTCCTGCTATCCCCAACGTTCCAGTCGCCGTGCCAAGTTCGACAGTCCAGCCGCCACAAAATAACGACATTCTACAGCAACTCCAGAACGTACTAGACACTGGGGCTTTGGATTCTCAAGCAAATGATTCATCTCAATCCCAATCTGAAGATACTAGGAAAGAAGATAACTCTCTAGGTGACTCTGAAATTCATAAATACAAGAAATTTTCAGACATTTCGACTTGAAATTTAAAAAAAGGGAATATATCAAAATAATACTAGTAATTTGAAGAAAGAAAAAAATCTCTCTTTTTTTGAGAAAATTTAAATTATATTTTGCAGCACTTCTTTAGAGGCAACTGCTTGAACAGTTGAAGTATTACGAGCTTTGCCTTTGCTTGGCACTTTGTCGAAGAAGTGGTACCTTAGAATGTATTCTAGCATTAATGGTTTTCTAAATTCTAAGAAAAGAAGGGACATGAATTATGAAATTTTCTTCCTTTTAATTTTCAGAAGCTCATCTAAACCGTGTTCGTGAAATGATGGCCGAAAGAAAAAAGCGATCAGAAGAGAATAAACCTTTCCTTATAGCCAAAATCCTGACGATCATTGCCAACACTTTATTACTGGTAAACTACAATGACTGTAAACTATAATTCATTTGGACCGCTCAGGCAGTAACCAGTAATATCTGTCTGTAAGAGTAATCAATCGGTCAGGTCTACTAACCGGTAAAGCGGTCTCTTTTTTCCTATAGTTCGATTACTCGGTTAACAAAATATGTAGTCTTCTTACACCTTTTACCCGTGTTTTCACACAGGAAAATAATTTTTTGTTGTGACAAAACACAGCATTAATCAAAACAGCTTATTAAGCAATATATTGTTAAAAAGAACGGGTTATATGTCAATTCATTTCAATAATACATTAAAAACGCAAAATCCAATTTTTGCCGAGTAACGAGTACAGATTTCGATGATGGAACACTCGGATGAGCATCTTGTGATCCAAAAAAGGTAGCCCTGAACTGTCTAGACTTTTCAAAACCGCCAGCAGCTTTAATTTATTGAATCTTTATCATATTTTAGTTTTGTTCGGGCGGAGTAGCAGGAATCGGTATTTTATATATGGTCAAAGAAGACAGCGCCATCTACACAGGAGTTACTCAGTCAGACAGTTCCGACCAGAATTTCCAGTTCTTCTGCTACACACTCTGTCTGGTTGGAGGGCTCGTACTAGGGATTCTTGTTTGTGGATTTTGTGGAAGCATTAAGGCCAAACAGGCATGCTTAAAGTTGGTAGGTACTTCCTAATACCCCCTCAAACCAAACAAACGAATACTGTGTTGAAATTGCAAGTTACTATTCACTCGACATCCTCCTACAGCGTCAACAACTCATCAACATTGATCCCCGTTTGAAAAATTTGCTTGAAGTTTAATGTGTTACAGTTTATGTTGCACATACGCAATTAATGGTGTATTTTCTTGCCTTTATAGTTTATGATAGCGGTGGGTGTCGCCTTAACGATAGAGATAGGACTTGTGGTCTTTCTCTACATGGTAAACTCAACATCTGTTCCAGTGTTTTCCCTGATTTCAAGTGCTGTAAGTTAATTATTATTTCTAGAAATAGCTGCGGATGTATTTATCTAAGCGCAATTAGGCCTACAAGTACTTTCTCGTAAATGGTCCCCAACCATGCCATCCAAGAGCATGTGTTGACGACGTTCCAGTAGCAGTGGAAAATTTATCTATAAGCATTCTGTTCTTATATATAACATTTGGAGATACTGAATAGTATTCAAGCGCCTAAGTCCATTCAAACAATGCAAATCAGGAACAGAGCAAACATGCCTCATTAAAACATTTGAGGTGGGATCAGGTGCCATTGAGGAGTGAGCATCCCCTACCACCCGTTTTGTCAATAGCTTGCCTCGTTTTAGAGATTGTTCGGGCGTCTTGCATACATTAACCCAATATGCAAGTGATAAGGGTATATTGCTAAACAAATAAGGGGGAGATGATGATAGAAAAGTTGAAGTCATCATCTTTATCATAATTAGAATTTTGCAATTTTACATAAATTTGAATGTAACAACATCTTCAACATTTTATGTTTCTGATTAAATTAATCATTCAAATTGTCAACATGTAGATTGAAACCAATTTAATCAAACAGCTACGGGAGATAATCATACACCAGTACATGGAGGGTAGTGTTGCAGCCACCGCCTGGGATAACATTCAGGTTATGGTAAGTCAGTGTTAGATTTGTAGGGTCGTTCACGAGCAAATCTTTATGCCTTTTTGGAAATTGGTAATTCGGTGTATTTATTTTTTAAGGCGGAGTGCTGCGGATGCTTAGGAGCAGACGACTACAAGTTGAGTTCGTGGAAAAATGCAACCACCACCGACGTAAGTAACAATACAGACAATAAACTAAAGCAGTGTTTGCATATTAAAATCAAACTGTTTACTGTCTGTCGGGTAATCGTGGTTCAACTATTTACATACATTACTTATGATTTTTTTTTCTTTTAGAAAAAGCAAGGAGTTCCCAACAGTTGTTGTGTGTTGAAAGAGAAAACCCTATCAGATCCTGAACCAACCAATAAATTGTTGTGCCACACAATGGTATCTGGATTTTGGCATAAACGAGTTAGTATTAAAAAAACTAAAATGGCTTATTTTGCTTCTTTGCGACCATACCCATATCTCATACATTCTTAGAAATGAATAACATGAAAGTTTTTGGGACAGACGAATGAGATTTAATGTCCCGCAAAAACGGTGGACAAATACTCGATACATATTGAGAATAGAATCTTTTGTGTAAATTGGCAGGGTTGTATTGAAGTCCTGAGAGAATGGTATCACAACTTGAGCATGATGACTTTGGCTGCAACTGGGGGACTTTTTATCATTGAAGTAAATACTTTTTTCTCCAGACATACATATATCAATACTTTATAGCAGACTCATTTTACATTCATAACAAATATATGAAGCAGACAACGTGTATATGTACTCCAACATGTCATTCTTTGCTTTAATTGCAATTTAGCAATGCAGATCTGTAGCCACTGCATTCAATAATAATTGAAAATGTTTGCTTCCCCGATGCAGAATTCGCTTCCACGGGTCCCCCCCCCAATACTAAGGGTCCTAGTACTGCATTGTTTCAAAACACATCATTTACATTCCAGATCATTTGCATCATTTTTGCATTACGGTTATTCATGAAAACAAAGCAGAAAAAGGAACGTGAAGAGAAACGAAGGAAAGAAGCTCTGGAAAAAGACAAGAGAGAAAAATGAGAAGACAGATACGAGATGGAGCTCATGTAGTGGAAGATGACTTAAATAGACTGACATAGCGGAAACTGACGTTCTAATGTGTATATATGTAGACCAATATCGATAGTGCCAAACTTTTATGCTTCAAGAATTAAGACAGATATAAATATCATTTTTCTTCTGTAATCAGTCATTTGTTTTTGCTGTTCTGAATTTTATGGATATTTCCGTTTCCTTCGAGAAAAATATCAACCAATCAAATGAAAAAAAAATGAGGGCCAACTTTGTTGATAATCTGAAAGATTTTCTTTTCATTTTCTTTTCATTTATATTAAAAGACTGACAGTTGTTTTATTGATTTGTTTTTATTTAATCAACAATAAAAAGCATTGAGGTAACATAACAGATCCACGATGCCGAGGGTGTTCGACGCTGCATAAGATGGTGTTCGAACTGGAATGCTTTATAAATTAAAACGTTAACAAACAATCTGAAAGAAAAGAGAAAAGTAAATTCAGTATGTTGACTTATTTGATTAACATTGAATTTCTTTTTATGTGTACAGAATGTTTATTGTAGACATAAAAATGACTTTAAATTTTTTTTATTTGTTTTGATCGCGCAAGTCCAATTCTTATAATTCAAAGATTTGGATAGGAAATCTTTACCTGGTATGTTTTTAACCAGCAATGGTGCCAGTGGAGTTGGTGGCGATGAAGGAGAAGAACAGCAATGAAACTGGAAGAAAAAGAAGTGTTTCATCAGATGAAGTTATTTTGCGCTCTCATGGATTGAAGGATGTTTAGACAAAGCGATTTCTACCTGGAAACCCCATTGCATGCCACAATGTCGGAGTTAAAAATATGGCACATAAGTGCCTTTTTAACTGTACATATATAGGCATAGTAAAATAGTTATTATTTGTTAATAATTATACAGATATCATCGTTGTGCGCTTCAAAAAAAAGGCTGGTCTATAGGACGTCCATCTATATCTAGAGTGCAAACTTTCTCCTGCTCTTGCAATCTTTTTCAAATTACGATCTTTTCTTCGGAATGAAGGTTTAAACAAAATTCGGTCAGAACATCATTCTGTATAAAATTTGATAACCCTCCAATGTTTAAGATACATGTATATTTTTTTCCAAATGGGGAACATCGTCATTTAGCAAAAGTTATTTCCCTTTTTCAAATGATAGAATCTGGGCTTCTCGTGCTTTAATTTTCCTGTCCAATATCCTAATATTTATTCATACAAGCAAACATTTCATCAGAAACGGTGGACAATTTTGGTTACTTACGGAGACTGAGTGTTGAGGACATGCTGAGATCGTTGACAGACTTGGTCAGAACTCTCAGTTGCTGGGCGTCGTTGTAGGCCTGGTAGCGTCTGTAGTAGTTATCATAGTAGTTCTGTCTGGCGGCGACTCCTCCAGTGGCGGCGAAACGGGGGTTAGCGGCCCACTGTGTGCCCCAGAGAGCGCTGACTTGGACGATGACCACGGCCATCATGCAGGCGGAGGCAACGAAAACTACACCCTTGTTCATGTTGACTGCGGCTTTGGACGTACGGCCAAGATATGACAGAGATCTGTACCGTCTTTAAGTGCTGCACAGGGTTATATACCAGGTGTTACGCTGGATTGCGATTTTTAGTCAGGGTAGACGAGCCCCTTTTCGTGTTACTTAAGATACACATCTAATGGCTTAATCGAACAACATTTTTATCGTTAATTATGGGATCAAAACTTACACGACTCCAGATTTAAGGTGTAGTGGTGTGCCCCAGGGAAAGATTTGAATAAATAAAAAATAAAACTTCCTTCTTCTAACGAACGACCAAGTTACAATACACAGGAATGATTTTTTTAGGAAGCGTTATTCCACTTTTAAAAAATAAGAACATAACATGTACACAAACTCTAAGGTGTTCCTTTCCAATTTATATTTTTTCAGTATATTCTTAATTAAAACATTGTATCAAGAGATGTTCTTAGACAAAAAAAAAAAAAAATTCAGCACGCATTACCAGGAGTTTAAAACAGGTATCAAATGATGAAACTTCTTGTGTTCTCGAAAGAAATTCATTTGATTCTGGGGAGATGCACAGGATAACTAGTCATCGTAAAATTAGTAAATGCCCTTCAATTTCTGAATCTCTTAAATTATATAAGTTCAAAACTACGGTTTGTTTGCTCCCTCCCCCTCCAGTATATGTAAAAAAAAATCTAAACACCCCACCCCCGTAAATGTAAAAATAAAAAATCTAAAGTGTGTATAATTTTTTTATTCGTTTATTTCACTCTCTAAAGGCAAATATTTTGCTCTAAATATTAAATCATACATGTATAACAACATTAATAACTAAATTAAAGATATGAAAAGAAAAGAAATCTATTCATATAAACAAAAATAATACATATGTAAAATATCTAATTTACCACCAAACTTCATAATCCAACTGCTAATAAACAATGCAGGAAAACTCAGGACATGGCCAAAGAACAAAGCTTTTAAAATACTAATTAACATTTCACTAATGAGATTCATTAAATGTACATTCTACAAATAATATAGAGTGAAACATGGCACGGAATATCATTGAAGCACTTTTTGCTGGAAGACTTGAAAAATGAATTTCTTGTAACAACCCCTTGAAAAATTAAAAAAATGTAAATGAATTGATGAATATCAAATATCACAACTTATGCTGTCAATATATGGTTTTTAAAAACTTGTTATGCTTCTAACTAATGCTTTTTGTATACAACCAAGGAGATCTGAGAGTTCTATCATAAATATAACCATTTTTACTCAATAAAATCATTTAAAAAAGGAGAATAACTATATTTCTAAACTAGAAAAAAAATCAAGGAGCACATATTCATGGTAGCATTTACTTGACATTTATGAAGAAAGGAACTTCCTGTACCCTATTGTCCCATGTGTACCTTGATCACTGGAATTAAATTCCAGAATTAATATGATAAAATGTAGGTACATAACTTTCAGAGTCACTCATGCAGACTGCTCTTTCACATCCATATGCACAACTATCTTAATTATACTCAAGCTTACACCAAAATATTTAAAACCATTAAGTACATATGCCAGGTAAAACATACAAAAATTAAGAAGTGATTGAATGAATAACAAAATCCTGCAGGTGTGAATATCATGTAACCCCGGTATAATACCATGAAAAATTTTGTATGTAAATTAAAAAAAAAAAAAAGGTTCACACAACCAAGTAAAAATCTTCATTTAAAAAAATTACATGTACATTTATGTAAACTAAAAAAGATTTCCAGAGCACAACCTAATAAAACTACAACTTGAATCAATTATACATGTATTGATGTATACATATAAAAAAAAATCACTACAATGATTTATTTTGGTCAAAAATTAGCACTGAAAAAGTCAAAAATCATTTTCCTAAATGATTCCACAGAACTTTGTTCTGCAGATATAAAAACAGAAGAAAAAACAGATACATCCCTAATGCTGTTAATAGCACTTTATTCAAAAGCACAAAAAATGCTTAACAAAACAATAGCTGTTTTTATGCTCGCACATATGATTATATAAACTAAGTAAAAACAACAGATATGCAATTACGTTTATGAAAACCTAATGAATGCTGCTAAACTATCTGCGTCAAGTCATGCTACTGATTTGCAACTGAGGCTATGTATTATGAATATAAAATGTAAAATCGATCTGATTTTCTGTATTGTAATGCATCATGAGATTTTGTATTTTAAATGTTAGTCTTGTGTACCCTTATTCTTTTTCCTTTTGAAAGATAAAAATTATTAACATACAAGTACCCTGGTATTATTTTTCTCCTTGCATAATTTTGTAACATAAACTAAAAGCCAAATTAACAGATTTTCTGTTGTAAGTATTATTATGTACATCGCAATCTCTGCTTCAACACAAACCCCTAGCATACATGTAAGCATAAACAACATTTCACATGCATTATTATAGCACTTCTTCATACCACAAGATTATATATTAAGTGCATGTATCATGAAACAAACAGAAAATATCAAGGAAACAAATTCTTTTGACATGGTGATGAGATTCATTTGACAATACCATAATACTGTTTATCAATACGCAACCTTGCATAATTTGAATGTTATTTAGAAATCAAAGACACATTCATCAACAAGCCCCCCCCCCTCCTAATTTCTTAACATGCGAGTATTTCAAAATTCAATGTTAACACCAAATAAATCTCAATTGAAAGTACATATATTAAAGTCATATACAGTGTATCTTGACAGTATTTAGAATGTAAAGTAAAATGCATTTAATAAATATCAACAATAAAATTTTCAAGTCTATAAATAAATGAAATTGTTTTTAGTAAAAGCATGAAAATTTGTCTACATCTATAAAAATCTACAGGAAAAATGAAAATATGAAGAAAAAAACATTAAGAAAAATGGCAGGATTCTAAAGTTTTCAACTAGATGAGGTATAAGGGTCATGAATATCCTCAATTTCTATGGCAGTAGTTTCCCCTGGAAGCTGTCTGATCACTGACCTCTCGGACTTGGCTGAGGCTGTTCGTGTAGATCTTGCTGACCCCTGACGACCACTGGTCCTACTGGTGGCTGAGCTAGCCTGTCTGTGCTGCCTGTAAAACATTTCAGCCATTTCTAAAGTAACGTCATTACATCGACCCCTCATGTACCCATTGGCACTGTTCTGTCTGCTGCTGGCACTGTTTTGTCTACTGTTAACACTGTCATGCCGTCTGCTTGTGTTGTCTTGGCATTGGCTTGCACTGTTATGTCGTCTGCTAGCACTATCTTGTCTTCTGTTCGAGCTTTCCATTTTTCTGTTTTCACTGTCTCTGTGTCTGCTAGCACTGTCTTGTCTTTTATGAGAACTATCCATTCCCTGACTCACACCATCATGCCTCATGCTTGTACTGTTGTGATGTCTGCTACCACTGCGGGACCTCCTACTACTATGTCTTCTGCTACTCATTCTAACCAAGCCCTCGATGCTGGGAGGTTCTTCTGCTTCAGATGTAACATAACCACTGACAGAACCAGTCTCTGTCTTTCTCCTTTTCCTATCACCCCAGGATCTAATGGACTCTCTCTCACTCCTGTCTGTGCTCTCCAATTCCTTCAACTTGGCATTAAGTTCACCCATATATGCACTTGCTGTAAATATTGAGAAATTGGCCACCTTGCCCAGGTGTTTGGGTGGCTCTGGCAGAGTCACCGCATCGAGACTGTTCTGGTGAGAGTAAGAGGTAACTGAGACAGCTTCCATGCTATTCTTCTCCACATCTATATCCACTCCATGAGCGGATGCTCTACTGGCCGTGGAGTTTCCACTTCCTCTCCTACTGCGTCTGCCCGCTCGTCTGCCACCGTAAGCAGAAGACGACATGGCATTTGAGATCGGTCCTAGGACAGGCAATATCCTGTTCCTCCTTAACTTTCTGATCTTCTTCTTCTTTTTGGCCTTACTTCTTTTTCTGACTTGTGCATACTCCACCTCCATTTCCTCCTCGTCATCATCACTGACCCTGAACTGGCCCTGTGCAGCACTGATCTGGGAGTCAATAGAGTGTCTTCTAGAGGCCATCTTTGAAGCTGCAGACCCAATGTCTGAAAATACAAAAAAAATTATCATTAATTTATTAATGTACCTCAGTACAATGTATACTCTTCAATGTGCCTCAACTATTTATGAAATGTACTAAAGGTAAACTTGTTTCTGGTATGTGTTGACAACCCAATATATGCCAATAAATCCATTTACAAATTATTACATCCTGAAATTTCTCTGAAAGACTTAACTCACAAAATATTCATCAAATGTCCATCTTTAATTAACAAATTCACTTTTATCAACTGAATGGCTCTAAAATACTCATGGCCATTGCAAATCTTTAGATGTATATTGCTTAAAATCCCTCTCGAGAATTTTTCACTCATATGAAGAGACCACCATTGCCGGTGGAGAGTTACAAATGTTGTCCTATACTCAGCACTCAGGGCTAATGAGCAGTGAGGAATCTTTTTCGTGCCAGCACCTACTGCAACACGGGACCTCGGTTTATACAGTCTGATCTGAAAGACTGGTCTTCCCACAGTAGAATCGACTCCTTACTTCGCGACTCTAGAGCAGACGCTCTAACCACTTTGCCACGCAGGAGACTTTAGATGTACATGGAAATTTGTTTGTAATGAAAAAAATCACTACATTTACTTTGATACATCAAATTTTGTTACCATGGACATGACTTACCTGAGTCAGAGTATTTTCGGAGCGTTCCAGCTGTAGGGTGCATCATACCACCCCTCCTCTTCACCAGCTTAGGCATGGCTGCTCGGAAGTCTGATGACATACTGTTGTTTGAACTCACACTGTTCAAGTCAAACTTCATCCCTTAAATGTAGGGGTGATTTTAAAGTAGCTGATAATTGAAAAAGAACCAGGAAATTTCAAAGAAACATTGATATATTTATTATGAAATTGATGTCTTACCCAGTGGATCATCGTGGGTGCTAGCAAAGCTGATAGAGAGTCTACCATTGTTTAGTTCTTTTCTCTTCTCAAAGGCCTTGGCTATCACTTTGTGTTTCTTCAGTTTGACTGGTTTGTTTGAGGGCTTGTTAAACACTCTGAAGGAAGTATAATGAAAGAAGTGAAAAACCTGGTACAACTAAAATATTCTTCCATTAAAGTATTTACTTTCAAAACACTTTTTTAAATATAGTCAAACATCATTACAGCAAACTCAATGGGAATGAAGAAAAACATAGACTTATCTGAAGATT